GTAATCCTGAATGCTGTTGTTTATGCATATTATCGTATTTTATTTTTACCACATGCCTAGGAACTGGGTACTAGTGTTACTCAATTTTACAGAAAAGAAAACAAGCTTGGAGATGAGCAGCTTGGCAGGATCCCTCAGCCTGCGTGTGGTGAGCCAGGATCTGAGCCAGGGCCATCCTCTGGCTGAGGCTTGAGGTTTCACAAACCTTCCCTCCACCCCCTGCCATGCTGTTTCTGGTCGTCAGGCTTTTCACACAGCTGTTCCCTCTGCTGGAAAGGACCCTCTCCTCCCCACCCCCGCCCTTTGCCTGAAAGCATACCTTTCAAGTCACCTCCTCTAGGAGGCCTTCTTGGACTCTCCAGCCTAAACCAGGTCCTGTAGGGCCTGTACCCCACTTCCCTTAATGCTCATGCATTTGCAATTATTTGTGTAATATCCACTGCCCCATGAGCAGAAAGTTCCAAGAGCACAGAGACAGTGCCTGTAATATTTACTGCGATAGCCTCAGTACCTGGCACCAGACTCACTCCAATATTTGTTGGATTGGATTAAATTAAAAGATGTCAGGAGCCCTAGAAGAGCTGCTGTGTAAAGAAACCTGTCCTATGAGAATTAGGTCAACAGAGAATCGATGGCGATGGGAGAGCTCCAAGATCAGAGGCGTTACAGATAGGCAGATACAGTGTATCGGTCAGCTATTGCTGTGTAACAAACCAGCCCAAGACCCAGTGGTTTACAACTAGTATCTATTATTACTCATGAGTCTACGGGTCAGTGAATTAGTCTGGATTCTTCAGAGAAACAGAACCAATAGGAGATATAGAGGAGAGAGAGGGAGAGAGACAGAGGGATTTATTGTAAGGAGCTGGCTCACGCAGTTACAGAGGCTGAGAGGTCCCATAATCTGCAGTGGACAATCTGCAGATCCAGGAGAGGTGATGGGTGAGTTCCAGGCTGAGTCTAAAGGCAGGAGACGACCGATGTCCCAGCTCAAAGACAAGCAGAGAAAAAGAATACTCCCTCATTTTGCCTTTTGTCCTACTCAGGCCTTCAACGGAAGAGCTGAGGCCCACTCACATGGGGAGGGCCATCTGCTTTACTCAGTTTACCAATTCCAATGCTAATCTCTTCCAGAAACGCCCTCACAGACACACCCAGCATAATGTTTAACCAAACATCCGGGCACCCCTGGCCCTGTCAAGTTGACTCATAAAATTCACCATCACAGTCAGCTGGTTGGTTCTGCTCGTTTGGGCTGGGTTCAGCTGATCTGGGCTGGGCTCCTGCGATGTCTGTGGTCAGTCAGCAGATGAGGAGGGGGCTGGCTGGTCTGGGATGGCCTCACTCAGACGTTCAGTGGTTGGCCCGCTGCCACCGTGGGCAATGGAGGGACCAGGCCAGGCGTCTCTCCTCACCCAGACAACTAACCTGGGCCTGAGGATGGGGTGTGCAGGCTCCTCGTGGCCAAGGCTTGGAAATGGTATTGCTGCCTCTGCCTCATTCTGTTGCTCAAGACAAGCCACACAGCCAGTCCCAGTACCAGAGGTGGGGAAACAGGCTCTGTCTCCTGATGAGAAGAGCCGCAAAGTCTCGAGCCGAGGACGTGGATAAAGGGAGGGGACATTTTTACACTCGATCTAGCACAGCTGGGTTGGAATTGTGGCTGTGTAACTTCTGAGCTCTGTGACCTTTGTACTTCCCTTAACAAAAATTAACACCTAGCTTACAACATTGTTGTGACAGGAATCAGTGACCACGTGACAGCAAGATGTGGGGTCCCAGTTCTTCCTCCCCAACTTGACCACACCATTGCCTTAACCCCCTTCTCCATGTAACCCTCCATATGTGTCAATTTCCAGCTTTCAAGGCTTGCTGCCTCCAGGAAGCCTTCCCTGATAGCACTCTGACCCACCATGATTAGACCTACCTTTGGAAAGTGCTTCTAAATAGTAAAATAATTGATGCCTAAAATGCCTTTGGGCATTATCCTTTCCACTTAAAATGTCTCAAGTCCCCGTCCCATGGGCCCTGAGAAGCCCAGCTTCCTTGGCAATATTTCTTTTTGTAAATAAAATTTAGATTTTAAAAAATAGACAGGCACCCAGCAGCAATCACCTCTCTTCCCCGAGCCCTCCTGTTCTCCTTCCTAGAGGAAACCACTGTTACCCATTTCTCACCTATTCCCCCAGAGATAGCCAAGCAGGGGGATCCGCAAACACTTGCTATAGAGGGCCAGGCAGTAAACGTCTTCAGCGTTGCCAGCATAGGGTCTTTGTCAAAATTACTCAGTTCTGCTGTTGCAACACCAAAGCAGCCACAGACAAGACATAAATGAATGGGCGTGGCTGTGTGCCAATAAAATTTTATTGACGGACACGGAAATTTGAATTTTATATCATTTTTATGAGTCACAAAACGTTACTGTTCTTTTGATTTTTTTTTCAACTATTTAAAAATGTGAAAACCATTCTTTGCTGTGAGGCCGTACAAAATCATCGGGCGGCGGGCCAAATTTGGCCCAGGGCATAGTTTGCTCGCTGCATAGGGAAACAAGTGTACAAAGACAGCCTTTTTTCTTTCTGCACCAAAGGTAGCCGACTTCTGCCCCACACTTTTGCCCTTGATCACGTATCTGGGCGATTATTCCGCATCTATACATACTGACCTCCCAAATCCTTTTCTTTTAATTTTCAAAATATCTTGTAAAAAATATTTTATAAACTTTTTATTTTAGAATCATTTTAGATTCACAGAAAAGTCATGAGAATATTTGAGTTCCCGTGTACCCTGCACCCTGCTTTCCCTATTGTTAGCATTGCTCTGGCACATCTGTCACAATTCAGGAACCAATGTTGATACATTATTATTAACTAAAGTCCATGCTTTGTGTGGATTTCCTCAGTTTTTCCCTGATGTCCTTTCTCTGGCCCAGGATCCCGTCCAGGACACCACATGGCATTAGGGGTCATATCCCCTTAGGCTCCTCTTGGCTGTGAGAGTTTCTCAGACTTCCCTTGCTTTTGGTGACCTGGACAGCTTTGAAGAGTTCCGGTCAGGGATTTTGTAGGATGTCTCTCTATCGGAGTCTGTCTGATGTTTTCTCATAATTAGATTCCTCCTGTGGAGCTAATCCTGAGTTCCATTTCCCCTCCTCTCTCCATCCTGCCTCTTCCAACCCATTCCAAGATCTCCCCCCACCGCTGGCCTTTCCCAGTTAATTCCCTGAGGTCCAGACACAACCCCCACAGCCCCCCATACACTCGTGAAGGCAGCCGTGAGTGGAGGTGGCTTAGACCTGCCTCCTGTCTTTTAATCCTCGGGTGTAATCAGGCAGGCCAGTCTGGTGGGGTCCAGGTTGCCCAGATTATATTTGCCGGGAGAGAAAAGGAGACTGGAGACAAAACCGGGAAGCAGGAGAGCAGGAAGACTAATAACAATGTTACAACGTGGCTGTTTATTAAACCCACAGGGATATGCAGCCCGGGTCTGTCCCTCCTTCTCCTGACATGTGGCGACCATACTTTCCTGGCCCCGAGCTGGGACAGGCGGATTGGCAAAGAACATTCCATTTTCTTTTAATACCTTTGAAAGACCTTCTGATTTGTGAATTTCTTTAGGGGAGGCTACGTTAAGTAGCACATTTTAATAAAGGCAGTACATGAAAATAATGAAATAAAAGTATATGAAACCAGGACAGGCTGGGCAGCCCACACTCGCCCTCTCATAAAAGGCTAATATCTCTGAGCTGCCTTGTAAAGCCTGCTCCAGCCTGTCCTGACCAGGGTCACCGTGGGCAGAAAACAACCCTCTAATTGTCACTTAATTAAAGAGTGCTTTCATACACATCAATAAATATCTGTGGAATAAGTGAATAACTTTGAAACACAGTGACCCCTTAAGTCATCTACTCTAGGCTTGAGGGTACATGTTTACATGTGTATGTGTATTTTCATTGAAGCCTACATCAGACATGGAGAGGGTGAAATCTGATCTTCAAAGCAGTAAATGCTCATATAGTGAGTTGAATAGTGTCCCCCTAAAAAGATATGCCCATGTCTTATCCCTGAAACCTATGAAAGTGACCTTATTTGCATATATAAGTAAGTTAAGGATCTCAAAATGAGATCATTCTGGATTTCAGATGGGTTCTGAACCCAGTAGCATGTGTCCTAATTAGAGAAAGGAGAGGGAGATAGATTTGACTCAGACAGCAGAGGGGAGAAGGGCTTATGAGGACAGAGGCAGAGACTGGAGTGATGCTGCCATAAGCCAAGGCACGCCTGGAGCCACCAGAAGTCGTGAGAGGTAAGGAAGGATCCTCCCCTAGAGACTTCTGGGGGAACACAGCCCTGCTGACACTTTCATTTTGGATTTCTGGTCTCCAGAACTGGGAGAAAATACATTGGTTGTTTCAAGCCACTAAATATCTGGTAATTAGTTACAGTCGTCCTAGGAAACCAATACACCCCATAATCCTATCACTTAAAACTGTTTAATACTTCATACTACTTAATAATAGCGATAGGACTTTGAGCAAGCTGCTTTAGGCGGCTCGTTCCCAGTTTACTCGCCCGCAAAGTGGAGAGGTTTATTTCCCATGTACACAGTCTAATATGCACAGGTGATGCTCAGTAATTGATTCACGGTGCCTGGCAGCCTCTCTGAGCCTCAGTTTCCCCATCTCTAAAAGGGAGGCAAGAATCCCTCATCTTGCCCCCATCCTCAGGGCCGTTTTAGGACTCAAAAATAAAACAAAATAGCAAAGGAGGCTAAAACGACAGCCTTGTCTGCAAAGCGCTCAGCGTCGGCCACGCGCAATCCCCGCCGACTTACCCACTGCAGTGGTCTCTCCCGGCGCGGCCCAACAGCCTGCGCCTGCGCAGAATGCAAGCGCTCAGGCCCGCCCCTTCGGGGGTGTGATTTCCTTGGGTCGCTCTGGTTTGGCCACGCCTACTTCCGGAGGGGGCAGGCCTACGTCTGGAGCACGTGACTTAGTTCCGGCTCGCCAAAGATGGCGGCGCCCAGAGCGGTCGCGTGAAAGTTGGTGGTGGAAGAGGCTGTCCATTTGTGCGGGCATCAAAAGAGCGGGGACCGTGCGCCATGTCGCGACTCATCGTGAAGAACCTCCCGAATGGGGTGAGTGCAGGGCCTGGACTGGGGAATCTGAAATTGGGACCAGCCGGGAGCTGGGGGTGGGACGGAGGTGGCTGGGGAGATTTGAGGGGCTTTCGCTGTGGGCCACGACTCTAGCAGATTCGGAACCCAAAAGGGGCAGGATCCTCGGCAAATCCCCGTTTGACAGTCGGGAGAGAGGGATAGTGACTGCTCAAGGTTTCACAGCCGGCCCGTGGTTATCTGACTCCCAACCGGACAACTCTTTTCCCAGGGAGATGCTAACCCCCTCCTGTGCTAAATGCTCTCTCCCACGACCCCTCTCGTCCGATCGCGTTTTTTTGGTTGACTCATAACTGGATCAGACACTGTATTTGTGGGGGAGGCAAATGGGGAGCGTTAGGCTGAGGACCTGCGTTCCAATTCCCGCTCCTGCCTTTAGGGCAGGGAGGAATAGTTTAAGAAAACCGAGTGGGTGTGAGGGGTTTAAACCGTTTGTCCGGTAAGTGGGGAGAGGTGACTCGGTCATACTTGTCCCTGTTCCTGGGGATCCCAGCACAGAGCCTGACACGTGGTGGATATTAAACAAAAACATGTCTGCCTAGTAAATGAATGAAGACACAGATGAATGTGTGGTATCAGATGACTGAATGCAGTGTGCCCGAGTGGTCCATCCTTACTTATTTCACTGTAACTTTTCTTGGATGGAGAGCTCCCACACCACTGGGGTGGCCAGTAAGCTCATTCCCAAAATACAAAATGTGCGGTTTGGGTACCATGAGAGATCTTCTGGACTCTTGACTCTGCTGCCCGGGAGCCTCCCTCCTTAGAAGTGGCAAGGCAAAGCCATTTATGCTTTCTTGTGTTTTTTTAACTTTCCTTTTTTTCCCCCAGCGGGTTGTGGGGGACCTATAACACGATTTTACACGTTCAGACACTACAGTGTGTCTAAAATGAGAAGCCAAGTCTTTTGCTCCGTGCTACCCTCCATCTCTCTCCAGGAGTAACCATCTTCCATAGTTGGATTTTAGGATTCCTTATAGTCATGTCTACATCCAAATAGTGTGCTCTCTCCATTTCTTGGTCTATATACCTCAGTGATTATCTGCTGACCCCCCACTATGAAAGATGAGGAACCTAGATCCTCTATTCCTCCCTTCCAGTCTCGGTTATATTATTGTTTTTAATTCTTCCATCATTTACCCTAAACAGTATACTTTTAAAATATACGTTATTGATCCACCCATCTCCTTTGGGCAGGATCTCTTGATGCCTCACTTGGATGGGTCCTCATCCATCGTTTTAGCGTGGCTGCCCTTCCTTCATCCCCTCCCAGCTTCCGTCTCGTTGTGCTTCTCAGCGTGGCTGGTTCTCTTACCATTGCTTGTCTTGTCTGATGAATGAAAGAATTAGTAAAAACAATATTAAGTTAATAAATAGCAATTAATTGGTTAATATTAAAATTAATAAAAACAACAGTAGCTAACACTTTGAAAGCTTACTATGTGCCAGGCACTGTTCCAGGTGCTTTCGGTAAAGTAACTCACTTCATCCTCACCATGACCCTAGGAGATAGGTTCTGTTATTATGCCCATTTTAAAGATGAAGAAACTGAGGTACAGCAAGGTAAAGTGATTTGCCTGAGGTCACACACAGCTGGTGATTCATAGAGCAGGGACTGAACAGAGCAATGTGGTCTAGAATTTCTGTTCCTGACCCCAATACCATACTGTCTCTCTTAGCGTGATTGCACGCCCTTTTCTTAGCTCTTTCCCAACAGACTTCTAGTAGCAAGGACTTGTTATGTTGCAGATGTAGATAGTGGTGGATAAGACTCAGTCCCCACTTTCATGGCGGTTGCAGTCTAGTAGAGGAGGTAGACATTTTCTGAGGCAGGTTCTTAATAACTCTGATCTCACTAAAATCTCACAATCACTATGAGTTAGGAATTATTATCTGCATTTTATAGAGGAGAAAATGGAACTCATAGAGGATAAATGATCTGCCCAAGGTCTACAGAATCAAGGTTTGTGACTCAGCTCAGGTATAGAAAAGGCAGTGAATTCATCTTCCCTGTTACTGGGAGAGAGCACTCGAGTCTGACCCCATCAGTCCTCTCTCAAAAACCTTTTGGTGACTTTCTAACACCAAAGGCTCAAGAACAAGCACCTAAGGTAAAACATGCGATTCTCCATGATGTGGGCCCGACCCACCTCGTCAGCAGAATCTCTGGACAAATTCCTCACACTCTTCTCTGCTTCCCACCTCTGAGGTTTTGCTACTGTTATCTCCTCTGGGTGAACTCACCCAGACAGGCCCTGGCTAACTGCTCCTCATTCTCGGTTCAATCCTCGACTCCCCCAGGAAGCCTCTCCTAGATTCCTCAGGTGGGTCAGGTACCCAACCCCTCTGTGCTCACACAGCACACAAATTACCACAAGCTTCACGGCTTAAACAGTACTAATTTGTTATCTTACCATGTTGAAGGTCAGAAATCCTGAAATCACAGTGTTGGCAGGGCTGTGGTCCTTTTGGAGACTCTAGGGAAGAGTCTGTTTTCTTGCCTTTTTCAGTTTGTAGAGACCACCTGCATGCCTTGGCTCTTAGTCACATCCTGAATCTTCAGAGCCAGTAGCATAGCATCTTCCAATCTCTTTCTGCTTCCATCATCACGATAGCTTTTCCAATTCTGATCCTCCTGTGTCTCTCTTTTAAGGATCTTGTGATTACATTGGGCCCACCCGAATAATCCAGGCTAATCCCCATCTCAAGATTAGCGTGGATATAATCACATCTACAAAATCCCTTTGGCCGAGTAGGGTCACATATTCACAGGTCCCAGGGATTAGGATGCGGACATCTTTTGGGGGCTCCGTTATTCTGTCTGCCACAATTAGCAAACACTTATATAATTTACTGTGTTCGTCCATTCACTCATTTATTCTGTGTGGCAGCCACACTGCTGGGCTCATTTTATCAGTGGTCCCCTTATCCTCCTAACAGCCCAGAGGGTAGGAAGATTTCATTGCAGCCACTCCGAGTCTGGATTTCCTCATTGATGAAATGAATAAGCGACTTGCTCTAGGCCACACAGCTAGTGGGTCTTCCAGCCGGACAAAGCACACTCTGCCACCCCCTCGTCTGAGGTCACCCCTGGGGAATCCCGTGGCCGCAGGTTTCCAGCTCATCTTGTCCCCTAGGCTCCGAGGCCTCCCCAGCTCCTCCCTCATTGCGCCTGTTCTGTCCTAGATGAAGGAGGAGCGTTTCAGGCAGCTGTTCTCCGCCTTCGGCACGCTGACGGACTGCAGCCTGAAGTTCACCAAGGATGGCAAGTTCCGCAAGTTTGGCTTCATCGGCTTCAAGTCCGAGGAAGAGGCCGAGACGGCACTGAACCATTTCAACAAGAGTTTTATCGACACATCACGGATCACAGTGAGTCAGTGCAAATCTCGCCCCTGCCTGCCCATCGCAAGTGATGCCACTTAATCTTTCCCTCCACACCAGAGTCCAAAGCCTGTCCCCTTTCAGACTGTGCCATCTTTGGTCTTCCTTACTGGTTCTCAAACTTTCATGCATACAAATCCCCTGGAGGGTTTCCTGGGCCCCTGTCCCCAGAGTTTCTGATTCAGTAGGTGGGGGGGCTCAAGAATTTGCGTGTCTAACAAGTGCACCGGTGATACAATGCTGCTGGTCATAAACTCACGCTTTGAGGACCACTGATCAGCATCATTCATTCACTCACCCATTTAGCAAGCACTCAGTAAGCACCCACTTGATGCTGAGAATTTAGAGAATGTGGTAACCCTGCCCCCTGTCCTCACGGAGCCAGCAGCCCACGGGCAGGCAGGGGGCAACAGATAAACAGGCTGCTTTCAATTAGGGTCGTCAGTGCTGTGATGGGGGAAACCCTAGGGACTGTTGGAGAACAGAGGAGACCTCTTCTCTTGCCAGGGAGGGGGTCACAGAAGCTTCCTGGAGGAGGAGGTCGCTCATAAGCATTTAACAACTTGAAGCAGGTGTTGGACAAGTATATATCATGTGATCCCAGTTATACAGTCATATCCCTAAATCCCGATGTGTGTGATGTGTGCAGAGAGAGGTACGTGGAAAGATCGTTACTAAAATATCAGTTCTTCTCTCTAGTTGATAGGAATTGGGGTAAAAAAAGTTTTTTTCCACTTTCCTCTATTGTTTGAATTTTATACAGTAAGCACATGTCATTATTACAGAAACAGCAGAACTGTTCTGAAAGTCCACACAAGAGGGGTGTGAGGAGATAGCAGCCCCTTCCCTGAGGGCAGTGGTGGCCGACCAGCATCCCCCTTGACTGTGGCAGGACGTGCCCACCGCGGCTCCCGGCAGAGCCAGCTCTCACAGAAGTCACCCAGGGCAGTGTGCGGAGGTGTTAGAGCTAGACAGATTTGTCAGCTCAGGCTTCTCAGCACTAGTGCGTGCTCCAGAGTGGCCACCCGCTTTTCTCGTGTTCTCTGGGGCCACACGAGCTCGCTCCACAGTAACTGGCAGCCGTTAGCTCAGCATTGCCGTGCGCCAGCCCCCGTGTCGTCTCATTTCATTCTCACAGCCGCCCCGTGGAGTAGATGGCTAAGAACTCGGGCTCCAGGGCCAGGCCCCTGCGTTCTAGCCTCTGCTCTCTCACTTTCTAGCTGGGTGACCCGGGGCAAGTTACTGAACTTCTCTGTGCTTCGGTTTCCTGGTCTGAGAAGTGGGGAGAGGAATGGCTCCTCCTCCCCCTCTGGGGAGGCTCCGTGCATTCATACTTGCAAAGCGCTTCAGATGGTGCCTGGCGTGTGGAATTCTTGGGTAAATGTTAACAACTATTATGACTTTAAGGAGGTGACAGCCAAAGCTAGGAGACGATGAGTCATTTGCTTCAACCAACTCAGCCAGTAAGTGGCAGCTGCCTTTTAAAAAGCCCGAGCTCCCAGGTGCTGAAGGGCGGCACTGTGCTGGGCGCAGTGGCAGGTGTCACCGTCACCCTCTCTCCCATGCAGGTGGAGTTGTGCAAGTCATTTGGGGACCCAGCAAAGCCCCGAGCCTGGAGCAGACATGCCCAGAGACCAGGCCAGTCCAAGCAGCCTTCAAAAGACAAAGGCTCCGTCCCCCCAGAAGCTAAGAAAGTACGTAGAAGGTCACTCCCACCTGCATGCCCGGTGTCAGCAGCGTGGTCAGCCTGGGAGGGCAGGGCAGTGGGAGCAGGAAGGACTGGAGAATCCTTCCTCTCGGATGGTTCCTGAAGGCGGGAACCCCGGGGTAATGGGGCTCCATCTCCCCGCCCTTCCTCTGTGACCCTGACCGTCTGTGCCTTCTGTTCTCAGGATCACAAGAAGAAGAAGGTAGCAGGTGAACTGGAGAAGGTGAGTGTGTCCTGGTGACCACGAGGGAGGGCACTGAGGCGGTCCTGGGAGGGCTGTGGCAAGCCGGGAGAGGGTGCAGGCAGGCCCCACAAGCAGAGCCATCCTCTCATGTCCCCTCGCCATGTCTCTGTGGCTTCATAGTCTGCTTCTCTGGTGAAGAGTCCACTCTGCCCTCCCCAGGACTGACCCAGCTGACCCCAGGGCTCCTCTAGAGACCGGGGCGAATGAGCTCGGAGGATGCTCGTTTCCCGAGTCAGGAAGGCTGAGCCCTCCCTGAGCCTTCTCTGCCTGTTTTCTCTTCTTCCCACTGCCCTGCCCTGGTGCCACCAGCTGAGGGAAGACACCGAGTTCCAGGAGTTCCTGTCGGTTCACCAGAAGCGCACGCAGACAGCCACTTGGGCCAACGATGCCATCGACACGGAGCCCTTGAAAGGGAAAAGCAAGCCAGCCAGTGACTACCTGAACTTCGACTCCGATGAGGGGCAGGAGAGTGAGGAGGAGGGAGCCGGGGAGGACCCGGAAGGTAAGGGTGTCCCTGTGCATGTGAGAGCTCCATGCTGCAGTGTGTGCCCCTGTGTGCATCCAGGCCTGTGCGTGCGTGACGTGGGGCCTCTCGGTGCCCGCCGCAGGAGATGGCCAGCTGGACTGCCCTCTGGTGGGGTGACTCTCCCACCCGCGGGTACTTAGACTGGACCGATCCTGGTCACTCAGTTAGTCAATCAGTCCCTCAAGTCTTCATGGGGCACCTTCTGTATGTCGGGTGCTGCTTTAGGTGTTGGAGATATGGCAGTGAGCAAAAGACAGGAGGACCCTGCCCCCATGGAGCTGTCATTCCAGTGTGGGGAGAGGAACAATGAAGAAATAAGTCCGCTGTTAGTGTATTATGTGAAGACGAGTCCACAAAGAGAAAGCCAGAGAGGTGATGGGAGAGTCCGCAGGGAGGCCTCGAAGGGTGACCCTGGAACGAAGGCCTGAGGAGGTGAGGGAGTGAGCCTCTGTCCTCAGAAGGGCGCCCGGTGTAGTGGGGGGCAGAGGGGACGTGAGCAATTGCAGTCCAGAACGGTCAGTGCTGTGGTTGAGGGTGGGGAATCGATTTCGGTTTGAAGCGAGAGAATGAGTGTAACGTGAATTTTGTGCCTGGTAAAGTTTCCCTGCAAAGCTGCCGTCCCAAGGACTCACTGGGAGTTGGTGGGACACAGTAGGGGAGGGCACGGGAAGGGGGCTACAGGCTGAGGGAACAGCATGGCAGAGGCACAGAGGAAAGGGAAGTGCAGGAGCTTGAGGGGGCTCTGCGGGGTTCAGGATGGCTGGAGCAGGAGGAGATGGGGCTGGGGAGAGGCCAGTCAGCTCCTGCAGGCTGGACCAGAAGTTTGGATTTCATCCTGAGAGCTCCTGGAAACCACTGGAGGGTTTCAATCAAGGAGCGATAATCCTATACGTGCTCTTGAAAAATGAAGCTGGCCGCAGTTGAGAGAATGGATTGGCGAGGGCAAGGCTGGTGCAGGGAGCCACGTAACTCTTGACATGTGGCACATAAAGTATCAAAACGCCAACAGTGTCACCCCACGTGACGTTATTTATCAGAGGACTTAGCGGGGCTGCTTGGCACAGGGCCCCTGGTCGCCGTCGGCTCGGCGCCTCGTGCCACTCAGCAGTGACACCGCCATGCCGTCTGCCGTCCGGCCTCTGTTTGCTCACAGCTGCCCTGACTCCCAGCCTCCCTGGTTTTCCAGACAAGGATGACGGCCTTGAACCGAAGGCAGCTGTGCAGAAGGAGCTGTCGGACATGGATTACCTCAAGTCCAAGATGGTGGAGGCCGAGTCGTCGTCGTCCTCGGAGGAGGAGGAGAGTGAAGGTGAAGCCGTGAGCTGTGACGAAGGCAGCAAGGCCAAGCAAGAGGATTCCTGCGCCGCCCGCACCCAGCAGGACGGAGAGAGAACGGGGGCCGGCCAAGAGCGAGGGACCCCACCTGGGAACAGGAAACCACAGGAGGCCAGAGCTGAGGTGTGTGTGGATTGGGGTGTGCCCGGGAGCCTGGGCAGCAGAGGGAGGACGTCTACCCTCGCTCTCACCCACGGTCCCTGCAGGCCAAGGCCTGGCTTCAGATCTTGGCCCTGCTGCTTGCTTGCTGTAACCTTGGCAATCACTTCTCCTCTCTGAGTTTATCTCCTGTTTTGACACGGAGAGGTTGCCTGCCTCCCGGAGTTGTGGGGCGTAAATGAGCTGCTGATGGACGTGAGCCTATTATACTTGGCATTTGGTGGCAGTGTAGACACGTGGCAGCCTACAGTTGACGTGATAATAGATAACGTTAATTGAGCATTCACTACATGTTAGGTACAATACCTGCTGTGTCATTCGTCGTTGGGACTCATGACAATCTTGTCCCATTTTACAGACGAGGAAACTGAGGCCCAGAGGAGGGAGGTGACTTGCCCAAGGTCACGGCTGGGAAGTGGTGGGCTGGGCCTTGGAGTCTGGACCATAAACCTGGGTGCTTCCCTTGGGGCAGCCACCTCGTCTCCCCTCGGAGTCCTCTCCACTTAGGGACAGGCGGTTTGTCACGGTGTTTTGGTCCCCTCCCCTCATCTCCCCGAGACCCCGGGGAAGCATCAGCTCTTGCCCTGTCCACCCCTTTCTTGTCAGCTCCAGCTTCATCCTCCTCCTTTCTTTTCTTTCCCCGTCCCCCTCCCTCCCTTCATTTTCTGCCCCTCTAATTGCCACACCCCGTCCTTTTCTCCTAAAAATGTATGTTCCATAGAGAGTGTCGCGTGTGGTGACGTCAGAGCTGTGGGTGCAATCCCTCGTCTGACATGGACCAGCTGTGGGACCTGGGGTGAGGTGCTTCTCCTCCGCGGGCCTCTGGTCCTCACCTCGGGTGATGCTCAGGGAGCACTGGTCTCTCTGTCTGCTGTCCACAGCCCCCGTGCCTAAGTGTGTGCTGGAAAGTTTCTGATCTCGGGAAGACACCCCTATACCTTATGCAGTGTAGCACCCCCAGTGGGGTCTGGGCTGGTGCCCCATAATTGAGCACATGACTATTTCTGCACTGACACAGAAATGACGACTCATGCTATGTGGGATAAACGTAAACCCTAAATTGCCTCACGTCAGCTCAGAGCAGGCTTCGCTGGCCAATGAGTTCAAGTCAGGGCAGGTTTTGTTGCCTAAGGGGTTACAAAAAATTGAGGTTTTTCAGAGCTATTTCAATTCCAAAATTATAGAAAACGTCCTGAACCTATAACCCCTGTAAGATTCTTTTAAAGATTCAGTAGGATGTGGTGTCTGCGAAGTGCTTTGCACGGTGTCTGGCACAGAGTAGGCCCTAAATCAGCGGTCGCAAATACCACCATACCTCGGGCTCCTCCTGGTGTCCTCCACCCCTCCTGGGAGCCCGGGGCCCCTGTTAGCACACCCACAGCATGCCGGGCTCTGATTCCAGCCCTCATCTCAGGGGTGCACATGGAGGCTTGGCACCTCCCACCCCAGGCTCTGGCCAGACTCCACATCCACGGCAGGCACCCTTCTTTCCGGCATTCTCCGGCTCGCCCTGGCAGCAGGTGCCTCTTTGAGCCCTCAGTGAGATGTCCAGTCTGCCTCCTCCTGCAGCTGTGCCAGGGGACTCACTGCCCGTTTCTGTTCTTTGCCATCACCCAGACAGAGAAACCAGCAAACCAGAAGGAACCCACCACCCCCCACACTGTGAAGCTGCGCGGAGCCCCGTTCAGCGTCACAGAGGTACGTGCCAATGACCGGGGACAAGGGTAAGGAGCCCCTGGGGGAGCAGGAGGCAACGGTGGGATGCCAGCAGCCTCTGCTGCATGGGGGCTTTCGGGTCAGTTGAGGACTTGAGCTGGGAGGAATTGGGGGCCAAAAAGGCTGATGAATTAGATCTCGGGCATTGACAGGGTCAGGAAACAGGGACGGCTATACCACTGTGGAGAGAGACTGGTTTCACTCACTGATCACCTACACTAGGGGTGGGCAAACTTCTTCTGTTAAAAAGTAAAGAAAGGGGGCCAACCCTGGTGGCCTAGTGGTTAAGTTCGGCTCACTCTGCTTCCGTGGCCTGGATTCAGTTCCCAGGCGCTGACCTACACCACTTGTCAGTGGCCATGCTGTGGCAGCAACCTACATAACAAAAGAGAGCAAGAGTGGCACAGATGTTAGCTCAGGGTGAATCTTCCTCAGCAAAAAAAAAAAGTAAGGAAAGGGACGAGCTGGTAAATATTTAAGGTTTTGTGATCAATATGGTCTCTGTTGCAGCTCCTCAGCTGGCCTGTTGTAGCAGAGGTAGCCCGACACGATAGGTAATGAATAGGCATGGCTGTGTGCCAATAAAACTTTATTTACGCAAACAGGCAGCGGGCCACGTTTGGCCTGTATACTGTAGTTTGCTGACTGTGGGTTTCCACAGCAGAGAACTTTTTTTTAACTTCCCTCCTTATGAAAGTAATGGAAATTTTTTAAATGCAGCTAAGTGAAAAGAAAGTAAAAGTCACTCATCACTAGGATGACTATATAGTCGTCCAGACTGAGTTGAGAGTGTGAGAGGAGTGCTAACCAGGTCGGGGGCCAGGATGGAGGTCTAATTACCCACAGGTTTAATTACTGTGGATGGAATTACTGATTGTCCCGGGCAAACTGGGGCAACCTCCCCCACCACACACCTACATCCCACTCAGGGACAACCACTAATAAATTGAGAGTATATCTTCTTAGACATTTTTTTCTTTGTGTGTAAACATTGACTTCTGTCTTTTATTGTTAAAAGCAGTCCTACGTTAGGAACTATTTGGGAACTTCTTTTTCCCCCTCATCACAGTATGTCATAAATATCTTTGAATATTGAATACTCTGCTGCAACACCATTTTTCACGTTGCAGAGGGAACACATCCTTACTCTGGACCTGCTGTGATGTACTCACCCAGTCCCCTAAATTGGGACGTGAGGGTCATTTCCAATCTGCTGTTATAAATAATAATGCAGTCGGCATTCCTTGAGATCAGAGGTCAGCAGAATTTTTTCTGTGAAGGTCAGATAGTACCTGTTTTATGCTTTATGGGCCATAGGGTCTCTGTTGCACGTTCTTTTTTTTTTAATAGCCCTTCAAAACTGTAAAAACCATGCCCTGCTTGCAGGGCGTACAAAAGTCGGCCGTGGGTGGTGTTTGGCCCGTGGGCCGTAGTTTGCCAACCCTCACTCCAGGTGAATGTCTTGTACAGACACGTGCGTGTACGTTTTTCAGGCTTTGACATGGCATGTCAGTTGCCCTCTGGAAGCGTCGCTAATTTATACTCCCTGCAGCAGAGTGTGAGCGTGCCCATTTCTGTGCACCCTGGGTAATAATCTTTATCAACATGACAGGCAACAATGGCATCTCATCTTAATTTATATTTTAAATTATTAGTGAGATCAGTAATTCTTTCACATTTGTAAATCACATGTATATCCTCTTTTGCAAAATGCCTGATTGTATCTTTTGCCTTTTTTTTCTCTTGAAGTGTTCATCTTTTTTGATAGTCTGTATATTTACTAAGTTTTGAAAAATAAAACTTATCAGACTTCTTCTAAATAACAAGCATTTGGGTTGTACTAGACTATCTGAGTTGTCTGGTAATTTAGAGTCAGAATTCTTTCAATATCAACCATGCAGAAAATCACATGCGTTAGCTAAAACAGTAAGGAAACACTACCTGGATTTTTGCAAAATTAATACACAGAAGATAGTCACTTCTTTTCCTTTCCACAAATAATAACAGAAAACATAACAGAAGAAAAGATTCTTTTTATATATCAACTAAAAAGAAAGCCACCTCTAGATATTGTAACGAATATTATGAGTGTGTGTGGAGGGAGGATTTACAGATATTCTAATGAAAGTTTTATAGGTTCTATATAAAGAAAATGTTAAATTCTACTGAGGCATTTAAAGGAATACTTACGTAAACGGAAAGCCATTAATTCTTAGAATGTAAAAATGCCAGTTCTTTTCTAATTAGTGAATAAAGGAATAAATTCAGTGAGATCACAATTATAGTTTCGTAGGATTGGGGAGGGGGTCGAATGTCAAAGAACAGCCAGGAGCCTCCTGTGAGAATAGACCCCCTACAAGATATTGAAACATGTTTTGAAGCTACAGTAATTAAAACAGTTTGGTTCAGGGAAAGCTGTTGACAGGTTAATGGAATAGAATAGAATTCAGAAATAGACTTATGTATGTATATATATACATATATAAGCATTTAGTTTAAGATAGAGTGTTTCATATCATTGAAGAGAAGAGAGATTTTTCTTTAAATAGTAATTAGACAACCAGTTAACTTTTTTGAAGAAAAAAGAGATGGACCCTGCCTTACTCCTTATGTCAAGATAAATTTCAGATGCATCAAGGATTCAAGCTTAAAAAAAAGGGACAAGGGGCCGGCCCAGTGGTGTAGCGGTTAAGTGCGCGCACTCCTGCGCCAGCCCGGGGTTCGGATCCCGGGTGCGCACCGACACACTGCTCATCAAGCCACTGTGGCGGCGTCCCCTCCGTATAAAGTGGAGGAAGTTGGGCACAGATGTTAGCCCAGGGCCAGTCTTCCTCAGCAAAAAGAGGAGGATTGGCGACAGATGTTAGCTCAGGGCTAATCTTTCTCAAAAAAAAAAAAACCAAGAAAGACAATAAAAGTTGTAGGAGAAAGCATTGATGAATTTACTTATAATCTTGGAATGAAGTATGCCTTTGTAAGCAATTTGCAAAACTTGGTAGCTATAAAGAAAAAGATGGATTAATTGGCTGCATAACAATTAAAACTTCTGTAAGGCAAGAAATGTTATAAAGTCAAAAGACAACAGACATTTGTAACACAAACAACAGACAAAATCTAGTTTCTTTAATTAACAGAGAGATAAATAGATATTGGGACCTATGACTCATAGAAAAATGGACAAAGGAGAGGAGGTCTTTGAAGAAAAAGAATGCAAATGGCCAGTAAAGATGCTTGAGTTCACTCATAATTAAAGAGATACAAATCAAAACTGGAAGATTACATTTTGCAAAAATTTTGAAAGTTCAGTCATAAATAACTTTCATGCACTGTTGGTGGAAGTGTGTGGTGCAGTCTTTCGGAGAGCAACTTGGAAATGTCAGTCAAAATTAAGAATATGCGTGCTTTTGACCTAGCAATAGCCTTGCTAGAAATTTGCACTACAGGCAGATCACCCAAGTACACCCAGATTTTAGAGCAGAAAGATTCATTGCAGCATTCTTTTATTACAATTTTATTTATAACTTAATGTATTAATTTGTATCATTTTATTTATAAAAACCGGAAACAAGCTTTAAGTTCTATCACTAGAGAATTGGTTAATTTAATGAGTCTCAGTTGGGGACCATTTGACCCCCCAGGGGACACTTGGCAATATCTGGAGATTTTTTTTTTTTCTTGTTGCCACTGGGGTGGTTGCTACTGGCATCTGGTGGGTAGAGACCAGAGATGTTGCCAAACATCCTACACACAATAAAGCCTCACACAAGAAAGAATTATCAGGTCCAAAATTTCAGTAGTGCTGAGGTTGAAAAACTTGAGGTTTACTTAACTTGAGGTTAACTAAACTGTGGCACATCAAAACGGTAGAATATGATGTGTCACTAAAAAGGAGATACTGATAGGGAAGATTCCCAAGATGTCTTACCAGTGAAAAGTGCAAAGCATGGAACAGTGTGGATAGATTGTTTTTTGTTTTTTTTTTTTCCAGGAGACACACATACATACCCACACATGTTATGTAGTATGCTGGACTTCCCAATAGGCACCTAAAAATGAGGAAAAAAAGGTTTTTTTGGAGAAATTTGGTAATTTGACATTTCTTTAAAAAATTGAAGTAATAGAAAAATTCACAACTTTGGTGGCCTTTTCATTTATCTTGTAGTGCTTTGATTTGTACAGTTGCCTGGACATTGCAAGCTTCTCACGGCTAATTCTCTAAAGGGTTTAACCCAGTACACGAATGAAGATAGTTTCACTGCTTTTATTTTTTTATAGAAAGCCAACACGGGTGATCTGGGCCTTGGAATTATGGGCCATTTTTGTTTTCTTGTTTGTGCTTTTTGCTATTTGCTAGAGTTTCATACTCTGTGTGTTTGTATATTTTTAAAAATGTGTTTAAATCAGCCTTATGTACAAAATAGAGAAATAGTTAAGAAAATCGGGGACCATCATCAGCATCTCTTTAAGTTGATGTGTGTCATCACCATGAAGTAACATGGACACATATTCATGCTTTCATGAACAGTGGAACAAAGCCAGATTTAACCCCAATTATGTAAAAAGGTACTTAGGAGAAAAAGATCAGAAACAATGCCTTAAAATGCTGATGGTAACATTACTACTTAATATTTATATTTATATTCTTCATTTCTTCTCCAATTTTTAAAAGTTTTTTTCCAGTGTAATTTTATCTTATGATGGAGAAAAGTTGTGTATAATTACAGGAAGGAGGAAACACTTTGGTGACCTTCTAAATTCAGAAATTCAGCCCATGTTTCTCTCTTGGGTTACACTTTTATTATTGGACTGATAATGGGCAAGAAAACTTTTGTTCTGCTTACAGAAAAACGTTGTGGAATTCCTGGCCCCCCTGAAGCCAGTGGCCATTCGAATAGTGAGAAATGCTCACGGGAACAAGACAGGTGAGGTCTGGGATGTGGCAGGTGGTAAAGGTGGAAGGTGGGGGCAGCTGGACTGGGGAGAGGCTTTAAGGGCGGCTGTTCTTTTTCCTATTTGTGGTCCCCAGTTCTGTGGATGTGGTTAAACTGCTCAGGACAAGGGTCTGCCTCTTGTCCCCTGCCTCTGGCAGCCTGGTGTGTAGTTTTCACATTTCTCTTCTCTCCCCTCCCCTGCCTCAGTCTACACTTGTTCCATTTACACAGTTGTACCCGGGGCTGGGGTTTGCTGTGCGAAGTCCACGCACAGCTCTGCTGACGGGCAGTGCTCTGAGTTGCTGAGGGTGTGTGGTGTTGTCCCCATGCCACCCTCTCCTTGGTTTCCCCTCTAGGCAGCCAGCCCACTCCCTGGGCTTCGGAACCCTAGGTTCTGGCTGCCCTGAGGTGGGGAACATTCTGGAAGGAGGGGTGTGAGCTTGGAGAGGTGGGAGCCTGCCTGTGCCTACTTGCTGGCCAGGCTGGGTTGGCGCTCTTCAGAGAACCACACGAAGGCCCTCTGGCCACGGGGCGGCCGGGCAGTACTGGGCGTGCAGGCTTCCTTGGCAGGAAGACGCTGGCATGGGCAGAGCAGTTGGGATCTGCCGGGGATAGAGTCTAGGTAGGAAATGTCCCTGTGTTAGGGTGGTGTCGTCACCTTCGAGGGTCTGTACTTCCCCCCCAGCTCTCCTCCGAGCACTAAAACCCTGCTGACCAGGCAGATCCATTCAGCCAACCATCTCATTCCTTGCAAACCTCTGCGAGTGCAGTATAGGGAGGAGCAAAGAGCCCCTGCCTGGGTTCAGATCCCCACTTGGCCACTTATGAGCCCTGTGACCTTGGACCAGGGACCTAGCCTCGTTTCTTCATCTGTGCAATAGGGCAGTCCATCTCCTTAAGTTGTGAGGATTCCGTGAGTTACTACATGTGTGGCATCAGAACAATGCTAAACACCTATTGCACATGCTGTGAGACTGTTGTTCATATTGGTGGTGGCGGTGGTGGCACCCCTGCCTTCACGGCACTTCAGAGACCAGAAGGGTGAGCAGGGGTTGGCCAGGGGGACCAGGAAGGAGCATGTTGGAGCTCTCAGGGCTGAGAGAAAACCGTGTTGGAGGCCCTGGAGCTGGAGAGTGCTGGTGTCTGAGCATGACGCTTTTGAGGAGCAGCAGGATGTCCCCACAGAAGAGCTGGAGAGGAGGCAGGGCCCGGCCCCCTGGCCTGGGGGCTCAGTAATAACTGGCCTTCAGCCTGGGTGCAGGGGCCCACTGGGCGCTTAGAGCAAGGGGAGGCGTGATGTGATTCAGAGCTGTCCCCTGGCTGCTGAGGGACAGATCCCGGGGCAGAATCTAAATAGCCTTGTAATAGAGGCCAAAACCCTGTGGGCTTTGGACCAGGTTACAGCCATGATGCCTGCTCTACTGCCTCACGGGGTTGAGGCCTGGTGAGGTCGAGGATGTGAGGCCTGCTGTGCCCTGGGAAAGACCCCCCATGTTTGTTTCTAAATAAGCCAGGCCCTCAGGCCCTCAGGCCCTCCCAGGCAGAGTTGCTGTGGAGATGGCCCCCCTCGTGCTGAGCTGGGTCACAACACGGCCACCACGGGCACGTCTCCTCCAGAGAAGGCCACGGAGCAGGCCCTGGTCAGGGTGGAGTGAGGCTGGGAGGTGAAGGCCCCCTGTGTCTCTGACTCCTGTAGTCCAGCATCTTCATACAACCACGCTACCGGGTCTAAACGCTCCCCGCGAAGGGAAATTTGGCCAGGGTTGTGGGAGGGAGTGTGTTTGTCTTTTAGAGATTTGGCAAAAATAGAGGTTTTTCCTTATTTTTGCTCAAATCCCCCGAAACAGCCAGCACAGTGTGGGTATTCCTTGGTGACCACCACGAGTGTCTGCAGGGCCTGCAGATTTCACCTGTCGTTGTCTTCTCTCAGGGTACGTCTTTGTGGATTTCAGCAGCGAGGCGGAAGTGAAGAAAGCCCTGAAATGCAACAGAGAATACATGGGTGAGGACGCCGGGCCAGTGCCGTCTCTGCGTGGTGGAGGGCTTCGTGCATGCCTTCACTGACTCCACAGATAGTTCTTGAGGGTCTGCTGTGTGCGGGGCACCGTTCTAGGCACTGGGGATACAGCAGTGAGCAGAAGAGCCCAGGATCCCTGCTGTCCTGGAGCCGACACAGAGCAGGAGAGATGGGCTGTGATCGAATGAGCCGCGCTGTGGGAAAATGCAGAGCAGAGAGGGCCGGGGCTGGAGGAGGTGTGCTTCTGAACAGGATTGTGTCCACTTGGGCCTCACTGAGAAGGTGACATTGGAGCGAAACCCGAAGAGTAGAGGGAGCAAGCTCAGGCTTTGTGGGGCAGGCTGTTCCAGTCCAGGGAACAGCAAGTACGAGTTCCTGGAGTCAGGAGGCCGCCTGAACAACATCTGAGGGGGCAATCTTTGATCTTTCCCTGGCGTGGACAAGTGATTCAGATCCAGCCACTGATACCTAGTGAAGACACGAGTTCTGTCAGGGAAGGTGGGAAACCTAAGGAGTCTTGTTAGCAAGTCAGGCCGTAGGTATTTATTGAGCACCTACTGTTAGCATGTCAGGCAGTAGGTATTTATTGAGCACCTACTGTGTGCGTGTGGAGACAGTGATAGTCATGTTCTAGTAGACACACCTGGCAGTGCATGTAAACAGTTCGTTGACGGTACAAGGTGACTCTGCAGTGTTGGGTTGTCACGTGACGCCTTTCCTAGAGCCCAGCAGTGAGCAGTGCCAAGGAACGTGCCCTGGGATTTAGAGGAGGCAGCACTGTGGATTGGGATGGCCCAGGCAGGCTCCTCTCAGGGTTGAACTGAACTTGCAGAAGAGTGGGATTCAGTGAAAGGGTCTTCCGGTTCCGGCATTGGCTCAGGCTGTCAGCTCAGTTAGAGCCTGGTGTCGGGGGCTGTAATCAGCTGCCTTTGCCGTGGCCTCTGGAAGGCAGCAAAGAAGAGTTTGGAATTGCCAGCCGGGAGTCCCGGGCAGGTTCCAGGCCTCCCTTCAGAGCCCTGACTGCTCTCCTGCAGGTGGACGCTACATCGAGGTGTTCAGGGAAAAGAACGTCCCCACGGCCAAGGAGCCCCTGAAGAATAGCGCCAAGCCCTGGCAAGGCCGCACACTCGGGGAGAACGAAGAGGAGGAGGGCCTGGCTGACTCCGGGAGGCTCTTCGTGCGAAACCTGCCCTACACCAGCTCCGAGGAGGACCTGGAGAAGCTCTTCTCCAGATACGGTAGGGGGTGGGGGCGCGGCCCCCGGCTCGCGGCACACACCACAGAGCAGTGGGGGAGAGCAGGCGGCCTGCGTTCAAGTCCCGTCTGCCTCCCATCAGCTCTTGACCTCGGGCTAATGACCTCACCCCCTTGTCTCAGTTTTCTCATCAGTAAAATGGGGCTAACGATCCCTGAGCTGCTCAAGGATTCAAACAGGGTGTGTACCGCAGAGCTCGTAGTAAAAGGCCACAGTACAGGCGTCTCGTGCTGTCTGAACCCGAACCTCTTAGCTCTCGCTCTCTGAACTCGGAACTGACGAGATCTGGATCCACTTTTCTGAGATACCCCTTGCAGTCCGAACTCTTGCTACTCAGTATTGGAAGTCCAGTGACTGTAGAGGTGTGAGTGTAATAATGCTCCTCCGTCTGAGCCTCTGCTGTCTAAATAGCCTTGCCGTGCAGACCGAGCATCCACATAGATTTGATAGCGCAGGTTATTTTTACTGTTGTCATTGTTGCTATTATTTCGCAGGACGTGAACTTGAAGGCCCATAGTTCAACTTGGCACACAGCGCTGTTTTTGTTTGTAAGGTCATGGTTGTTGAAGGGAAGGAAGTTGGGTTCAGAATGGGGGTGAGATACTGATGCTTTTATCCCTGGAGCGTCTCCCCACTTCTCTTTGGAGGCCAGCTCTGGGTCATGGAGGATCAGAGCTTGGTTGAGTGCCTGTTGTGGGGACACGGAGGCCCCAAGTAGGACTCTGCCATCAGGCAAATTGCTGTAACCTCCCAGCCTGTGTCCACTGCTCTCTGGATCCTTCCACCCATGCCGGTGCCCTGGTTTACATAACGGGCTGGGCCGCACAGGAGAGGGGATCAACAACAGACTGCAAGTACCGATTTGGGAAGACAAAGACCGAGGGGGGCACACACCCTGGTGTTGAGAGCGGAAACCGATTCAGAAAGGGTGTCCTTTGAGTGTAGTAATCATCTCAGAGCAAATACTTAGATGGCACTAACGTTGTAGCAGGTATCAATGCAGTTACCCTCCAGCTGCCCTGTGAGCTAGGTCCTCTGTTAGGCCATTTTACAGATGAGAAGGCTGAGGCACGTGGGGGCTGGTGGCTCACCCAAGGCCACACAGGTAGTAGGTGGGGGAGGCAGGATCCAGTCCAGACACCTCTGCTTTTTAGGATAGACACATAAAGGATTGTGAAAGGACACGCTTGACCTCTGAGGCGGTCTCACGGCAGCCCCTTGCCACGTCTTCCTTGGGCCGAGTGAGTGGCTGCAGCCGACCCAGAGTGGTAGCCTGATGCTCTCATCAGTTAAAACCCATCGCCTGACGAGTGCCCAGCACTTTTCTCCCCCAGCACTCGGGCCTGGCCTGCAGGACACTGACACCTCTCCTGTTCTCAGGTCCCCTGTCTGAGCTCCATTACCCCATCGATGGCCTGACCAAGAAACCCAAGGGCTTCGCCTTCGTCACCTTCATGTTCCCTGAGCACGCCGTGAAGGCCTACGCGGAGGTGGATGGGCAGGTGTTCCAGGTGACTGCACGTGGCTGGCGGGGGGCTGCTGGGCTCAGGGGATTGAGAGAGGCTGGGGGGGGAGGTGTGTGTGCATGCGTGTGCAAGTGTAGGCACGTGTACCCACATTTTGGGCCTAAGAAAACACACCCGAAGACACACCAACCACCTCCTCACACGAGCTCCTAGAGGGTGGTGCCCTGGGGCAGGGCCCTGGTCTGTTCTGTTCACTGATCTGTCATTAGCACCTAGCCCCTGGCACATAGTAGGCTCTCAGAAAGTGTTTGTGACGTGAATAAGTATGCTCTCCATCTCCAGAAGTACGTGGAAAAGGGGTAAGGAAGGAAGGAGTTCTGACACGGTCATATTAAATGGCCACAGTAGAATGTCAGAAACTCTTCTCTTTTTTCCCAGTGTCGCCACGTAACATGCTTAGTGCACGTGCTCAAGCCCCAGGCTGCCTCGCCTCCCTTTCCCTTTTCCTCATGCGTTCATTCATGATTTATTGATCTTGTGGTCACCACGCCAGGCCTGGCTCCTGCCCGCGTGGAGCTCGCATGCGGGGACTTCCGGGTGCAGGGAAAGATGGCCCGGCTTGGAGGGGGGTGCTGCAGGTGTCCCTTATGAACTGGTCCATTTCCCTGTGAGGCTGTGTCAGATGGCCCCATCACACTGTCAGGTCCCTGTGTCACAGGGCCGTGTGGTCGTTCTGCCCGAGGCCCCATCTTCCCATCAGGGTTTCAGCCCTGGGTCCAGCCTGCTCGCGGGGTGGCCGACATCCTGTGGCAGGGTGTGGAAGCGCCTCCCCCTTCCTCTCTTACCCCCTTCCCCTGGCCCCCTCCAGGGCAGGATGCTCCACCTGTTACCATCTACCATCAAGAAGGAAGCCAGCGAGGAGGCCAACGCCCCGGGATCGTCGTCTTACAAGAAGAAGAAGGAGTCTAAAGACAAAGCCAGCAGCTCCAGGTCCTTACCCGCTCCCAGCCTCGGGGCCCCGACCCCGGCACTGCTGCCCTCGCCCTGCCCTCTCCCAGCCCCTGGGTGCCCTGGCTCCTTGCGATGGGTTCAGCCTCTCGTCCATAACCTTGCTGAGCCTCAGTTTCCTCATCTGCTGAATGGGGAGAGTCACAGTGGTGCCTTACTTTTGTGGTGTTGTGAGGATTCAATGAGTTCAAAGTGCTCAGACCCTGGCAGAGAGTAAGCGCTTGACAAGTGAGAGGGACTGTTGGTGTCTTCGTCACTCTCCTTGTCTTCAGGCTCCGGGTGCTGGGCCCACACTGGGTAACTGGGGGAAGGAGGAGGCTTAGGGGCTTAGAGAGGCAGGCCGACGGGCTCATTTCTTAGAGGTTTTGCACTGAAACAGTGTTCCACTCCTTCATCCGAGATCTGACCTCCCTGTTCTGCCTCTCCTTTCAGCTCTCACAACTGGAACACACTGTTCATGGGCCCCAACGCAGTGGCCGACGCCATCGCACAGAAGTACAGCGCCACCAAGAGCCAAGTGTTTGACCACGTGCGTGAGGGGCCCATCCGATGCATCCCGGCTCGGGGCCACACACAAGAGGAGAAGGGCAGGGCAGGGGCGTCGTGCTCAGGCATCTGTGAGCTTGGGCCTCGGAGGCTGACGTCATGGGCATCCTCTGGTGCCGCCCCTCTGGAAACAGCCCGTCCACCCTCCAGCCCCGGCTCCTCGTGGGCTTGTATAGGGCAGGCCAGAGAGTGTGGCTGATGATGAGGTCTTCAGGCCGCCTCCTGGAGCGCTTGGCTGTGGGCTACTTCTTACCACAGCCCCAGGGGCTGGGTGCCCCTACCAACCTCACTTTCCAGAGGACCAAACCGAGGCCCAGGCACGCAAAGTAACATGCCCAGGGTCACATACCTGGAGAGAGGAGGAGGTGGGATCATATCAGGTCTGCCTGACTCGGGCGCCCTCGCTCTGAGCTGCAGCGCACACCTCTCCAAGGGTTGTCCCCCCACTTCCTCAGCCTGGCCGGCCCGGGTCTTTGAGACTAAGAGAGGGGAGTAGTTGGTCTCTGTCCCTCCTCCTCTCCCGGGTCTAACCTTATTCCTCCTGATTTTTCCAGGTCCACCTCTCTGGCTCCTCCAGATCACATTCTGTCCTTTAAACCCGTATGTCTTCAGTTAGACCACGGCTAGGTGCATCTTAGGCGAAACTGGTTTTTCAGCCAATCAGCAAAGGATATCCAGGGATTTGGCCCATAAACTCGTCAACCCTCTCTCGTTTACTCCTTCTGCCTGACGCTCCAGGTCAGCGCTATCCATTAGAAATAAAATGTGAGCTCTGGATGTAATTGTAAACGTCCTAGTGGCCACATTTTAAAAGGCAAAAAGAAACAGGCACAATTAAATTTAATCTGTTTTATTTAATTTAGTATAGCCAAGATATTATCATTCCAACATATATGCAGTGTAAAAAATGACAAGATATTTTGCGTTCCTTTTTCTCATTAAGTGTTCAGAATCCAGTGTGTGTTTTACCCTCACACACTTCTCAGTTCGGATGTGCCACGTTTCAAGGGCTCGTGGCCATATATGGGGCAGCAGAGCTCTAGACCTCAGCCAGTTGGGAGGGCTGCAGCCAGCTCAGATCCCACAGCACTCTCTCAGCACCGGGAGTGCCACAGAGCACTAAAGAGAAACGGTCCTGCTCTTCTGATGCCTCCTAGTGGAGGAAGACACTAAGAAGTCAACAAAGTGCAGCATGTTGGGGTGATGGCTACGGAGAACAGTTAAGCTGAGTAGGGGTCTAGGGTGTGAGAGTGAGGAGGGGCTGGTCAGCGGAGTGACATTGGAGGAGAAGTTGAATGGGATGAGGAGTGTGGGCTGAGAGCCGTGCAGGCAGGCAGGCTTGCTCCTAGGGTGGGGGTGAGCCTGGAGTGTGGGAGGAGCAGCAAAGAGACCCGAACAACTGCAGTGGAGGGAGGGAGAGGCTGGAGAGGCGGGCGTGGGGTCCTTGATTTACTGTGAGAGACGCAGAGGCCGGAGCCGTCGAGTCAGTGGGTAGGCGAGGGGCATTGGCTGGCCCATCTCCATCCGACCCTCCTTCTCGGGCTGTTGGGAGGTGGGAGGGCTGTCACCTGCCCGACAGCCGACAGGGCCTCTTCCTCTCCTTGCTCCCACAGGAGACCAAGGGCAGCGTGGCCGTGCGCGTGGCCCTGGGGGAGACCCAGCTCGTCCAAGAAGTGCGACGCTTCCTCATCGACAACGGAGTCAGTCTGGATTCCTTCAGCCAGGTGGGTACTCACTCCCAGGCTTAGCGAGCCGACCGGGTGCTCAGCCACCAGCCGTGGAGAGCTGGGAGTGGAGCTCCAGATCAGTGAGATGCTGATGGGTTTGAGGATCTGGCCTTTCAAGGATGATTATCATTAACTTTTAAATTGTCCCTAAAGAAAGTAAGAAGCATCATATGGGCTCAGACAAGGGGCCCATCTGACCCTGATGGTGTCTCTGGGGGGCCGTATACAAGAGGGCCACCTTGAAACCCACGGTTTCTCCACACAGATCAGAGGGGCGCCAAACATCCTGTTCCCCTCCTAGGAGCGCCTGTATAGGGCTTTAGACCCTTCTGGAACCCCGTAGGAGAGAGTTCAGCGCCTCTGTGTGCTTGTTCTCCACCAGGAAGGGACTCTTAGGTTTCGAATGATTAAGTTTAGAGGGGACCGTGAGGCCACCTGGCATCCTCCCCTTCGTGTTACACACTGGGAAACTGAGGCCCACAGAGGGCAGAGGTGGCTTAGAGGTCAAACAGTGAGTCTGTGGCAGGAGCCTGGACTAAGTCTCAGGGCTTCTGACCCCAAACAGCTCTTTCCTCAGCCTGACCAGGCCTCAGTGTTACCTTAACCTGATGGGCGGGAGGGAGGGCTGGGAGGGTGGGGGGGAGGTAAGCAAGTAGATGGAAGGGTGGGTGGATGGGCGGATGGAAAGTGGGGTGGATGGGTGGATGGATGATGGATGGATGGATAAATTAAATACATGTACGCATAGGTAACATTTATTAGGACTTACCGAAGCACTCTTTATAAGTTCATGTGTTTTATTACCTCATCTAGCTCTCATAATAACCCTGGGGAAGCAGCACTTGTGTGCTCCCATTGTACAGAGGGACCACGGTCACAGAGGTGGAGTCACTGGCTCTGGTCACACAGCTGGTCACTGGTGGAGCTGGGTTTGCACGCGAGCCCCAGAGTCCGTGCCCCTAACCATTACACCCCGCAGCCTGGGTTGCGCCTAACAAGCCCACTGGTCCCCGGCCCTCCCCACCTGCAGACGGCTTCCACCCCCTCATCTCAATTGCTTGTCACAACAACCCCGCGAGGCCGACAGAATGGGTGTTAGCATTAGCCCATTTTGCGGATGAGAAAGCAAGGCTCACGGGGAAAGCAATTGACTCAAGGTTTCGGGTTAGATTAGTAGCTGAGCTGAGCTCGTACCCAGATACTCCATGTGCCTGGAGTTTTTCCGTGATATTTTTTTTGGCTCTTTTATACCCTTCCAACATTGTTTTTTAATAAAATACTTGCTGATGTTTACAGAGTGCTTATACTATATGCACTTTGCTCGTATTAAGCCATTTGATGAAATCCTTTCCTGGAGTGACCCTGTGAAACAGGTGCTGTGTCCTTGTGTGAGGGGAGGGGCTGAGGCACAGTTAGGTACGTTGCTCAGGGTCGTATATCGAGCATCTTAGTTTGGGTTCTTCCAAGAGCAGACTTTGAGACAAAGACTCAAGTGCAAGTGGTTTACTGGGCAGGGCCGAAAACACTGGTGAGAAAGGCCAAGAGGGGAAAGGAGACAGTACAGGGCGCGCTTATTACGCACCGCTGGTGTAGCGGCGGGCTGGAGCTTTATCGGGGGGACACTGCGGAACTCCTGTCTCAGAACTGTCCCGCCCGGAGGACAAGGGCTGCACCGAGTCCTCAGAGCCAGGGCTGCTCCCAGGGGTGTGAGCTCCTCGGCACTTCCCGCCTGGCACGTGCAGTTCCCGAGAAGGGCGCTCGGCACGGAGATGCAGATCCTGCCATTGGCATTCGGGGCGGGAATGCTCTGGAAGGTCCAGCGAGGGCTGTGGTTGGGCACTGTCAAAATCCACTGTGGCTCAGGAGTGGAGGGGCCGGGATTTGACGCGGGGTCAAGCTTTGGAGCCCTCACCCTCATCCACTCCGTGGGCTGCCTCTCACCCACGGAGCGCCGTGCCCGAGAGGGTGGGTCTCCTGGGCCCGCTTCCTAGGTGCCCACTAACTGTTCCCAAGGGGCGCCTGGTCTGGAGTCGACCACACATCAGTGCTGTGTCAGGGGCCCGGGACCTGCCCTCCTGTGGGCCCACGTGTGTTCATCTCCCTGCAGGCCGCAGCGGAGCGAAGCAAGACCGTGATCCTGGTGAAGAACCTCCCGGCGGGCACCCTGGCGGCCGAGCTGCAGGAGACCTTCGGCCGATTCGGCAGCCTGGGCCGCGTGCTGCTGCCCGAGGGCGGCATCACCGCCATCGTGGAGTTCCTGGAACCGCTGGAGGCCCGCCAGGCCTTCAGACATCTGGCCTATTCCAAGGTAAGGGCCCCGAGACCTGCTTCAGGGGGAGGAGCGGGGGTTCAGTGTCCAGTCTCAGCAGAGACCCCGCACGTGGGGGCTCAGCTGAAGACTTCTTGTCTCTCTCCTGGTTGTAAATGTCATCCCGCCCCTGAGGACTCCACAGCATGGGAGCAGGTGAGGGGGATGCGCTAACCACCCTCCGGAAAGCCCGCCTCGGCTCCTCGCCCAACTCTGGCTTTCCCTGACTTTCTATTCCCACGTGATTTGAACTGTCATTCTTGGTTCTTTTGTTATCTTGGACCTGTGGTAAGTTAAAAGTCAATTCTGTGGGTAGGCTGTCTCCTATGCCTTAGTAAAAAGAAAAAAAAAAAAATATATATATATATATATATATATATATGTATACACACACACACACACACGTGTTAATATTATTAGTATATTAGTTTCTTGTGGGTGCTGTAACAAGTTACCACAAACTTAGTGGCTTAAAACAACAGAAATTTAATCCTTCATGGTTCTGGAGGTCGGAAGTCTGAAATCCAGGTGTCGGCAGGGCCGTGGTCCCTCTGAAGGCTCCAGGGGAGAGTCCTTCCTGCCTCTTCCAGCTTCTGGTGGCGCCAGGTGTCCCCTGGCTTGTGGCCGCATTACTCCAGTCTCTGCCTCCATCTCACGTGGCCTCTCCTTTCCTCCATCTCAAATCTCCCTCTGCCTTTCTCCGATAAAGACACTTGTCCTCGGATTTAGGGCCCACCCAAATAATCCAGGATGATCTCATCTCAAGATCCTTCACTTAATGACGTTAGCAAAGACCCGTTTTTTTAAACATGGTCACATTAGCAGATTCTGGGGGTTAGGACGTGGACACATCTTTTGGGGGGCCACCATTCAACCCACTAAAGGTAGCTTCTGTTTATCAGGCACTTTAACGCTCTGCAGACTATTTGTCAGTGTCTTGTTTATCGTTTTTTGGAAGAAAATTTATTTCTGCCAGCACACATGTGCACGTGCCCTGCCCATGAGTGTGTGTATGTGGTGGGAGAGAAGGCATGTTCTTCCTCCAGGAATGCTGCCTGTTGATGGTGGTTCTGCTCCGCCGTCCCTCCCGCTCCCCAGTCATGCTCTGGTGAGAGGAAACACGGGACACAAGTGTGTCCGGTGACAACACGTGGTCAGGCCTCTACCCGAGCTGCAGCAGGGCCCCCGTGGTGTTCTCAGGGATCAGGCAGCACAAAGTTCTAGGCTGTGCTCCTCCTCCCGGCTCCCCTTTCCCGGTGACTCACCCCTACACTCTGAGCCCCGGGCTCTTCCTCTGCGTGAGGGACTGAGGCCCTACCCCCTCCTCTGTCTCTGTAGTTTCACCACGTCCCCCTGTATCTGGAGTGGGCTCCAGTGGGCGTCTTCTCCAGCTCAGCCCCGCAGAAGAAAGAACCCCAAGACGCACCAGCGGATCCCGCGGAAAAGGACAGGATGGAGCCAGAGACGGGTAAGAGTGGAGTCTGAGGTCAGGGTGTCCTGAGACGGTGGGCGAGGGGAGGAAGGAGGGCGAGGGACAGCACTGATTGTTTATCAGGTATTCGGTTTAAAGTTCTTTATTCATCCTGGAGAACTGTGCATCTCACACTCTTGGATTTTATAGGCACGTAAAGTGTTCTTAAAAAAATAGAGCATAAACAATATGGGTGCAACATAAGGTAGTCGACTTTTTAGCTTGTCGATTAAAGGTTTTAAAAAAACTAGACTCTGTCAATGGGGATTCAGAACAGAGCAAGTGAAAACAACCTTCTCATTTCCTGCATCCACTGGGATGCCTTGCCGGTGGGGATGGCTGGTGACGATGTTTATTCTTCAGGGTCCTTGGAATTGTATGGCGCCCTCTGGTGTCCAGCACCTGCAAGGGCAGGAAGGGGAAGGGACAGTGGCCCCAGCCCGGAGCTAATGCTTCACACTTGGAGGGGAGGGGGTACCACTGGTACTTAGGGCAGCACGATTCTTCCCTATCGGGACTGTTTTGCAAATTGTAAGACATTCTGCATCCCTCGACCCCGCCCGCTGAATGTCAGGAGCGCCCCCAGTGGTTGTGACAACCGGAAACATCCCCCCATTCCCAGATGCCCTCTAGAGGGCGGTGTAGCCCCCAGTTGAGAACCACTCCTGGGGACCATGACCGCATCTTAGAATCAAAGATCTTCAGAGAAGTTCTGAAAAGGACCCTGGCAGTCCTTTACCCAGATATTAAGATGTTGCCCATCACTAATATCCCCCACTCCCACCCCACCATGGGGTTACCGGTTTATTAAAATAAGGATTAAAAAAGTAAGTCTCCCATGTATCATCTCCATTGTGCTCATAAAAGAATGGGTGTATTTTACAGGAAAAAGAAATGTGGGGGGAGCAGAATTCTCAGATTGAAGAACAATCCTTTAATCAAATAGACCTCACTGTCCGTAAACCTCCCCAGGCGTCTGCATGTCTCGTCTCATTGTGTGTGGGTAAAACCTTCCTCAGGACTGGGCCAGTCGGTACAAGGCATTTGGGAACCACTGGTCTGGAAGCCTTGTTCCAGGCAGGAAGGAGAATGCTTCCGTCTCTGCTCTTGGAGGCTCTGAAAGCATCCCGGTCCTTGGGGTGTGAACCTCTTAGAGCCCCTCACTAGCCCCTGGGGATGAGTTAGTTCGTCCACAGATTTGATTAGAGTCCCTTCCCAACCTGCTTTGCTTCCACCAAAGAGTTCTCTCTGTGTTGTCATGGATTGTTCCTAACTAGCCGTCACCCCAAAATCATCAGCTACCTTGGCCTTCACTTCACTTACTCAACTTGAACCTGACTCATATTTTGTGGCCAAAAGCAAGTCCTCCTTTAAAGCACAAAGCTGTGCGGAAGTGCGGGCCCTGGAATCGAGTCCGGCAGAGGCCTGTCCTGCCTGCTTCGGCAGGACCGCTGAGCATGGCGCCACCCCAGTGGACGGCTGCCGCGTGTCCTGGTGCTGCCCTCCCTTCCCTCTCTTCTGTTCTTCTGGAACTCTTGTCACAAGGTGTGTTTATTCTATTTACGCGTTCGTTTTACTTGTTTATATCCGTCTCCACCAGACGGCGAGCCGTGAGGGCAGAGCGGCCGTCTCACCCGCTGCTGGGTGCCTGGCGCCCCGGGAGGCCCCAGGCAGGAGTAGCTCGATGATGCTGTGATGAGGGGGTGAATGTCCTGTGCCTCTCTCTGTGCCCGTGAGGGGAGGCGTGGGCCACACTTTTCCTCGTGTCCCAGGCCTCTGCACACGGGAGGAGCTTGGCCATGTGGGAAGTTACCCCAGCATCAGAGCGGGAATGGGGATGGTGACATCGCAATCACAGTGACAGTCACGGCTCCCGTTGTGGGTACCTGTTTATACCCCCCCTCAACTTAGGCTTTACTTTGTTTCAAACGCTTTTCACTTCCCGGAACTGCACTGGGGCGGGTTCATTTCCTTGGTGTTTGTCTGTGAATTTCCCACTGGAATGTCGGTTCCACAAGGCGGGTACCTTGTCTGCGTGCTCCCCGCTGTACCCTGGCACCCGAGAGAGGACCCAGTGCCTGGTAGGAGAGCAGCAAGTGTGTGCTGAGTGAACCCCGGGGCACAGGCAGCATGTCCTCCCTGCTGGGCCCTGCGCGAAGCCCTTTAGTTCCTCAGAATGTGAGGCTTACAGCCCCCAGGGGATCACTGTCTTCCGTGTCCTCTCCCAGCCCTGTGACTGGGCAAGCCGTTGTCCTTCTCTGGGCTCAGCATCTGCGTCTGTAAAATGAGCGTGATCACTGGACCGACCTCTCAACACTTCAGTGAGAGTGTAGTGAGGTCACTACTCCGCCCCTGTTGTCAATACAGCAGCGTGAGCCGGAGTGGACGGCCTTTAGTTCATCTGTGAGCCCAGCCCTCAGCTGTCAGCCGTGGAGCTGGAGTGACAAGATGGGCGCCACACAGCCCTTCTTCCCCAGAACCTCTAGGCTGGTGGGGACAGCTGAGATGTCACACTAGGAAGAGAAGTGGCCCTGGGTACAGAAATGTTCTAGACCATGAGGGAGGCTTCACAGAGATAGTGTACCGGCTCTGAAGTTAGAGTCCCGCCCCACCTGCCCCTGGGGTTCCCTGGTTTCCGAGCCTGGCTCCAGGGTTGAGAGCATCCCAGACAGGCTGTCCCATAGGCCCTACCTCTCCTCTCGGTGTAGGTTTCCAGGGTCTGACCCTGACTCACAGAGGAGGCCCTGGGGCGGGAGCCAGGGCCCAGCTGATCGTGGACAAGGAAATTGTCCGTCTGAGCTGATTTCAAGCCTCACTGAGTCACACGCTGGTGGGTGGACGCCCCCAGAGCTGCTCTCCCAGCCTCTGTCTGCCCCTTCTGTTCCTTTTTTACACGTACCACATAGACAGTCCCTCCCTGTCCCCTGTGCTGTCCCTTTCCACCCGCTCCTCCCCCACGCCCGCCCTATCCACATTGTTCCTGAAGCTTCCCCGGACCCCATCCCCATTGCTCAGGGACTCAGCCAGCCCCCAGCCCTGGATTTAGAGGCTCCGAGGCAGGCGAGCAGGAGAGGAGTGGACAGAGGTTCCCCCCGCTTCCCTTCTCCAAAGCCTTCCATTCTCTGTACCAGTCTAGAGGGAGGGGGATGGTGTGTTTTATCTCCCCACAACCAAGACCCTCACCTCCAGATAAAGGGCTCCGAGTGGGGGGAAGTCCTGAAAAGCTGCTCACAACTGATAACAGTCTGTGCTGTCAGCCTTCCTCGCCGAGAGCTGGAAAGGGGAGGGAGCCTCGGCGAATTCTGCGGCCTGATTATAATAAAGCCCCATGTGACGCCGCGTGACTGGATTTTATTGTGCTAACTACAGATGGAGGCACATTCTTCCTGCCTCTCCCGGCCCCGCCAGCCCACCTTGCTTTAAATCCTTCCTCCCCACACACCCACCGGCCCTGCTCTCTTTCTTCTTCCCTCTTTTTCTAGTTCCTGGTGATTTTGTTGGCAAACATGTGTTTGAGTTTCACAATACCTCATTTTTTCTTTTTAGTCTTTTGTCTCCCTACTGGGGGCAGGAGCAGAAGTGCTTTTAAAAATGACCTTTGGCTTTGTCGCCATGGTTCTTGGCTGTCTCCGCGCCTCTCTGGACGCGGGCATGGGCCCCAGCAGGGCCAGGCCTGGCCACTCGGGGAACAGAAGCTTCTCCAGGGCATGTGGACAGCAGGGACCTGGTCTCCGGACTCAGGTGTGTTGCTGGCTGTGCTTCTCAGAGCAGGCAGCCCACCCTGCAGGCAGGGAGGCAGGAGAGCCGTGGGCTCCCTGTAGTCGCTGTCCTACCCTCATGGCTTTGGGCCTGCAGGGTTAGGGATTTATGATGTTTTCCCCTGGATTTCTCGTCAAGGCCTGGCTGGGCAGTGTGGGCACCCGTAGGTGATGTTAAGACTGATGAGACTATTATTGATGGCTACAGGCCCGGGCACTGTTCTAACGGGCTTCTGTGCATTAATTCTCATAATCGTCCTGCAAGTGGGCACTGTTACTGTCGTTCCCTTTCTAGATAGAAGGAAGGAAGCACACAGAGGTTGAGTGACTTATGCAAGGTCACACCTCTGGAGAGAGTGGGTGTGTGACCCAAAGCCACCAGCTCCCAGGTCTGTGCTCTTAGCCGTGACCCCACAGCTCCTCTCAGTCCCACTAAGTGCCATTTGCCGAGCGCTGACTGTGGTCCAGGCACATACCGAGAGCTGGACATAGCATTGTCCACATATGTTTTTGGAGCACGTGCCCTGGGCCCCGAGCTAGGGATGCAGTGGTGTCTGAGGCAGAAGTGGTCCTGTCCTCAAGGAGCCCCCCTTCTCGTTGGGGACACAGACAGAGAAGTGAACCGATACGGTGATTTCAGAACAACAAGGGCCTTGAAGAGAGCACCCAGCAGAATGTGGTGGCCGGGGCTGGGCCTCGTGTGGGGACCCCTGGAGCAGGAGTGGGCAGGAAGGGCTCTGCAGGGAGGACCTTTAAGCTGAGACCTGGCGAGAAGAAGCCAGGCCTGGGGAGACGGGAGATGAGGGGAGCGGGCGGGGGGACAGTGAGTGCACAGGCCCTGTGGTAGGGACGGGTGGCAGGCTTGGCGAGCAGAGCAGAGACCAGTGCAGCTGGAATGGAGGGAGAGGGGGCAAGTGGGAGAAGCTGGCAGGCCGGGGACGGGTGCTGAGGGCAGAGCGGAGAGGAGGCTCCTCAGTCATCCACACGAGAGGCCTTGGACCGGGGACCTGGCGTGTGGATGAACACATGTTTCCCAACCGCCCAGCAGAGTGCAGGTGTGCGTGCACACGTGTGTGTTGAACTGCGTCTTCTAGATGGGACGCTGCGGCGGGGTGGTTGAGCCCTTTGCCCAGGGCCCCACAGCTAGCCGGTGGCGTCGCCACCACTCTGACTGGGATCACTCTCGTCTCGAAGGCCGTGTGCTCCTCCCAGCTCTGCGCTGCCTCCTGACTCAGCCTCAGGCTCTGTGCGCATGTTTTCCAGGCCCCCTTTGTTCAGCAGAGCTCAAGACTGGGATGCCCTCGTTAGTTAGTCTTGTTGGTTCTTCCAGCGCCCTGGGCGGGGTTACAGGTGCATGGAGGTCATTGCTGCAGACACAAAGGTTTAGGGAAACAGCGGACAGCTCTGTGCTGCTGGGGAAGGCCAGGCCACATTTAAGGCATCTGTATTTCAAGCTAGGTGTTCGTCCTGGATGCTGGCAGTCAGGGCTGTTGGTTGACTTATTAGAAGGGGGAGGAGCCAGGTAAGCCAGGCCATCCACACACCCAGGTAGGTGATAGGTCCCGGCCTCCCTCTAAGTGGGCTGGGGCTGAGAGTAGCTCACCTGCCGGGAAGGATCCATCTGTTCCTGGGCTGCCAGCCCTGGCTGTCAGCTCAGCCCAGCTCTGTCACTAAACCCAAACAGCACACCTTCCTAGGCAGGGGCCTGTGCTCTTTAAACAAGCACTTTGAAGCAGACCAGCCACTGCTTGTGGGGCAGGGAGGCAGGACGGAGTGGACTCGGGCCATGCTCAGCCGCTGGGCTCCCCCGAGCTGTTGTCCTCGTGAGGTTTCACACCCCTGGAATGCCACGCTGGGAACAGGCCCTTGGGAGAGGCAGAGGGAAGGGTCTTCCATCTTTGTCCGTGGTCTGTGTGCAGGCCGGGTGTGGGGAGCAGACCACAGAGGCCCAGTGAGCTGGTTTATCTGTTGACCACTGTCGAGTACAGAAGCCACATGCCCTTGAGTTAGTGGCCAAGATGTAAACACCATGAGTTTTCCCATAAATAGCTGGATTTTCAGCTTCATGTGAAAGATCTGAACGTCTGACTGCACGGGGTTGACCTTCCCACGTGGCAGCAATTGGCCGGTGCCACGAAGGGACTCCCCCTTAACCTGGCCATGAGCCCCCCCAGTCACCATCATCCCCACCATTCTTTTCTCTATAAAAATATTTTTTTAGTCTTCCATGAGCCTCTTCCACCAACATGAAGATGCCTGAGACATCTTAGGGTTCGGATGCAGCAGCCTCCAGAATGTTCCCTGGGCCCCACCCTTGTGATGTGTCTCCTGTGGTCATTGGTGAGACAGCACACTGACAGCGTCTAGCCAGGTGCCTGGCACACAGTGGGATCTAATCAGCGTCCGTCCTTCCTCCTTTCATCCCCCAGATGCCCATGCAAGGAGAGCCAGCGGGGGAGTGTCATTCCAGCTGAAGGGCATGCTTTTCCTTTCCATTGAAGTTCTCCTTCAGAACCTCCTCTTAGCTACTTTGCATAGCATTGCTTCCCCATCATTAGTAATACTTGTTCCTCCTGCTTTGCTTTGAAAGTTGAGTTTTGAGTACAAATGGCAACACCATGGAGTCCCCTGTTGGGTAAATTGTGTTAGTTTCCTGGGTGGGGGAGGAGCCTTTATGTAGATGTCTTCTTTTTGTCCTGGAGGGAGAGTCTGGGTTCTGGGTTCACCTCCAAGGGAGCGTGAGGGGCGAAGGCTGCCTGATGTTAAAGAGACAGCATTATCACTGTGGCCGGTTCCATTAGAGCTTGAAAGTGTTGTTTCATGACAAAGCGCTTGAAGCTTAATTAGGACTTGCAAGCATTAGGCTTGCGGCAGAAAGGGCAGGGGAGACGGAGGGCCTTTGGTGCTTGGCCTGAGAGTGTGGGGGATGGATTTGAACCCCAAGAAGCCCCCTTGGGTCACGCAGAACTTTGAACTATTTGAGTGCAGGTGTGTGCGGGAGAGGAGGGTTGTCTCCATCAGCTCTGGGCCGGCACATGGAGCCGCCTCGCTGGGCCCGTGCCAGCCAGGCTGTGCAGGATTTAGATCTTTGGGGAGGGAGGGGCCCCCTGCTCAGAACCGTGAGGGCGAGGGGTGTGAGGGCACAGTCTGATGATGGCCTTGAGGACTTGCTGAGATGGCATTGAGTTCAAAAGCTTCTATGTGGAGGGGGAGTTTGTCCCCTGTTCCCAATCTTGTGACTTGGGGAAAAATGGGGGAGGTTGAACCAAACCAAACACATTTCCTGGCAGCAGAACTTCTCAAGAGGTTGTGATACTGTTACCAACCTTGTGAGGCTTCCATCACCCTTGGGTGAAATCTGCACTCATCACCACGGCTGACGGCTCCCCTAGTTCCCCGCAACACACACACTCACACACACTCACACACACCTGCTAACTTGTATCTGTACCTTTGCTCTTCCTTCTTCCCTGAAATGCTGTTCCTTCACAGTGGGAGTGGAACAGAGGGGTGGAGGTGGCAGGATGGAACAACCCTCTGTGATCCTGTTCTCCAGAACTAACTGGGAGCACGTTACGTGTTGCCATCCGGTTTTCCCTTCTTGTGTGTTTCTCAGAAACTGTACAGAATGTGATTGGGGTTACATTGTATATTGTCTTATATCCTAATTTTTCTCTTAATTTTTATATTATGAGCATCATTCCATGTTGTTAAACATTCTTCGGAAGCATCATTTTTACTGACTACGTATTATTCCAGCCTTTGGTGGCCCTGTAACTTTCCTTATCTCTTGTTTGTGAATATATAGCTTTTTTTCATTTGTTCACTATTATGCATAACTGAATTTAAGATGTCATGTATGGATAAAAATCACACTTCTGTGTATCTGTTCCATGAAAAGTGTTAAGTTGCCTTTTAGTTTGAGGGTTCACTAAGTGCTGTTTTTTGAGGGAAAAGAACATGTTACTTAGGTTTGTGGTTCAATAAAACAGTTCACCCACTAATTTATTTTGAGGTTCAGATTAGTGTGGAGTAGTCCACTTGAGGGCTCATGGTTTTTGGTCTGTGTCTCATATTCCTTTCTCTTTAAAACAGAGGCTGTGTCTGTGTCTGTCCCCCCGCCCTCCTTCTCCCCTTCCCCTCTCTCAAGAGTGGCTAAGACCCAAAATCTGGCACAAGCCAGGAATCAGTGTCCCTTCCTGCCGCTGCCTGCACAGGCAGAACCCCCTTGATCCAGCCGGTTCTGTATTTTAGACCCTGAGACTTGGGCAGACTAGACACCATTTAATGGATTTGTTTTTTGGGGGGCCCAGTGCCAGACAGCAAGACCCCAGAAGGTGTGAAGCCAACAGAGGGAGGAGCTGATGACTCTTCAGCCAAGGTGGGAGAAGAGGAGGAGGAAGAGGAGGAGGAGGAAGAGAGCCTTCCTGGGTGTACTCTGTTTATTAAAAATCTCAACTTCGACACCACTGAGGAGACGCTGAAGGCAGTAAGTGATTTCTCAGAACGGGAGGAGGGGGCGTGGGATGGGAACCCCGGTCTGCTGGTGGAGTCACGGTGTTATTCTGCCTGTAAATGTGACCGTGTTGCTAAGTAGTTTAACAGCCGCCCTCTTGACGTCTCTGCTGGGCTGTCCAATGGACAGCTCACCTGGACACTTGAGCCTGGGGGCTGGCAGGGGCACCCACATACACATGAGGGGACACGTCAGGGTGTCTCGGGAGGCGTATGTAATGAGAAGCTGTAGTCAGTGTTAGCATTGTATATTCAGAAAACAAAGCCCCCCACATTGTTCCTGTGATGTAAATTACCCAAAAACAAATGTCAGCACACACTCCCAGCCTGGTGTGACCCTGCGGGAGAGGCCTCCCTGCCTGGAGTCCCTGATGGGGGGAGGGTTTTGCATTCATGGGAAGGGAGCAGAGGGTAAAGGGATGGGAACTCCAAGTAGGGGTTTGGGAAATGCCACGTGAGTCCTGTACTGCGGGATTGCGGGGCTTCTAGAAGGAATCAGGCCAGAGGGCAGGAAATAGGGCCTCCGGCACCAAAGGACTGGGGTCTGTCAGCTCCCCACCCTGGCCTGAGAACTGCCTATGGGGAGCCTCTTCGTTTCTGAAAACTGGGCTTGGCACAGAGTAAACACTCGATGTTTTTTTTTCAATGAATGAATCAGTGATGGGCAGGCTGACAGCCGTGAGCTGGTTCTGGAAAGGAAGATGGCCATAAGGATTGAACTGATTGTTTCTAAAAACTCTTCTGAGTTCTGAAATTCCATAGACGGACTCCAGAGGGGAGCCGGTATCCCCTGGGTCCCAGAGGCAGGAGTGGTGGGCGGGTGGAGGAGGCCAGCCTGCGTCTGCAGGAAGGACTGGGGCCGGGGAGACGAGGTCAGAGCCTCCACTCTGAGACGGTCTGGCTGAGTCCCTGTGCTGTGACTGTCCACTTGCCATTTAGAAGAGCTGCCCCAGCAGCGGAGACACCCTGCCCCCCGCGGCAGCGTTCTAGCCAAGGCTCACGCTACTGACCAGTGGGAAACCCTCCCTTGCACTTTTCCTTGGCGACTTCCTGAGTCAGTTTTGGTTTGGTGTGGGCTTGCTTTTATAAACAGGCACACGCTCCTGGGCTCCAAAGGGTGAATAGCTTTGAAGAGGTCAAACCGGCTTGTAGTTTGTTGTTATTTCTGGAGTGCCCGCTCTCCTGGGCCTGGGATGGGAATGCCATGATCCAGAATCATTCTTTCCTGGAAGATGTGCCCAAGCTTCACCCTAAGAGCATCCTCAGAATGAAAGAATTTTGGAGCTAGAAGGTGCAGCCAAGATGATCTAGTCCAGTTCCTTCATATCACAGATGTGGAGACTGAGGTTCAGAGAGGTCAGTTCACTGACCTGAGGTCACACAGCCCATTAGAGGTGCTGGGGGAGCAGCGCCCCGCTCGCAGGGCTCCCGTCTTGGCGCCGTGTCTGATGTAGAGCCGTGCCGAGGGTCAGACTGCCTGGACTCGGGTCCCAGCCTCTCTCCTTGCTAATGGTGCGACCCTGGGCAAGTCCTTTATCTTCTCTGTGCCTCGGTTTCCCCATCTGTAAAATGGGGATGTTGATAGAATCTTCTCATGGAGCTGTTTTGAAGATCTGATTAAGACGAATGAGAGGATCCAGGGAAAGCGTTTGACACGTGGAATGAGAGAGGCAGCAGGGGCTCCGCCTGCAGTGTTTGTTTGAGGGTCAGGATTCTCCCCTCCTCTCTGCTCCCCTTCACTCAGTCAGTGCACAGTTACTGTACCCGCCTTTCCCTGGGCCCCATGTGTGGTGTTGAAGACCCAGCAGTGAACCAGAAGGACAGGAATTTGCCCTGGTCGGGTTCAAATTCTAGCAAGGGAGACAGGAAAAGGAAAGGGAAAAGTAGAGTAGAAAGTGATTCTTTTAATTTTTAAAAATTAATTGGCAGGAGCCAGCCCCACGGCCTAGTGGTTAAGTCCAGCACGCTCCACTTCGGCGGCCCGGGTTCAGTTCCCGGGCACAGACCTGCGCCGTTCATTGTGAGCCGTGCTGCGGCAGCAGCCCACATACAAAATAGAGGAGGATTGGCACAGATGTTACTTAGCTCAGGGCCAGTCTTCGTCTGCAAAAAAACAAAAAATTAATTGGCAGTAGGTGCAGGGGCGGTGAAATGTGTCAGGACTGGGGTCAGTAGACTCTGTGCTTCCAGACTTAGGCCCGGCTTCCCCATCGCCTGACCCTCGGAGACTCTGGACTGTCTGTGGCCCAGGCCTTTCCTGGATGCCTGGAGCCAGAACAGCCCCGCCGCCCTTGTGGGGAGCTCCGGGGGCGTGTACATGTTACTTCAAGTAGGCCGTGATGCAGTGCCTGGAAGTGTTTTTGGTGCCCTGAGATGGTGTTGTGGCAAATTTGGGGAGCCTAGTGTCTGCCCAGGGCCCCCACCTGCTTAGTGGTTTGCAGCCCGGGCCCTGGAGCCCGGATGCTGGGGTCCAAATCTGAGCTCCAGCGTTTCCCAGCTCTGTGACCCTGGGTCACAGATGGGCCTTCTCTAACCCTTCTGAGCCTTGGCTTTGTTGTCTGAAAAATGGGGGTAATAACAACACCTACCTCCTAAGGTCTCTGCAAGGACTGGATGAGTTTAGGCAGCGCAGGACTCGGGACGGGGCCCGGCCGCGGTCAGCACTGCCGGGTGGGCGCTCGGCTTTTCTTCTGGCCCCCCGGTGCCTCTGGTCATATATAGCCCCGTCTTTGAAGACGTGCCTGCAGGATTAGCCTGGAAATACTGACGATACGTGTTGACGTTCTTTTCCAGGTGTTTTCCAAAGTGGGAATGGTGAAGAGCTGCTCTATTTCCAAGAAGAAGAACAAAGCAGGTATTCCGTGTGAAATCTCAGGACACTGTAGCTTTGGGCAGGGGTGGTGGCGCTCCACGTGCTTGTTCTGAAGGTCCTCTTGTGTTCTGAAGCGTTGTCGCCCTCAGACTCTCGTTTGGCTTGTCTGGAATGGTCCTGTCAGTGTCCCTGGAGGCCCTGCCTTTTATTGGAAGCAGCCGTGCACGTCAGGTTCTTCTGAGTCCAGACCCGTTGCCTCCTGAGACTGTCAGAGATGTGCGGGCGGTGCACCTAGTGGGCTGGCAGCACTGACACTGTCCAGTGGCGGGAGCCTCTCCTCCTCCCAGCACCTCAGTGCTGTGTCAGTTTCCTAGAGAATAGCAGGAAATGACCAGCCTTGGCCTTTCCAGACTCTTCCCTTCCAGGAGAAATAACCCAGGCGTAGAACATCTGGAACATTCCACTGAGCCATTTACCACACACCTCCCTGGCCCGTGGGTGCCTTGGCCATGCAGACAGCACCCTCATCTCTCCATTTGGCCTCGGGTGTTGTCACGAGTCCCCTGACCTCTGCTTTGTCTCTTCTCCAGCCCTGGCCTGCTACAGATGATGGACAGGCCATAAGTCCTTGCTTTTTCTCAGCCACACGGTCCCCATCTCTCAGTTTGGCAGGATTTGTAGGGATGCCACATGAGTCAGCCCATAGCTGTGTCCTGAGAGACAGATGAGCTGGTGGGCACAGCACCCTGCAGTGAGGGACGTGGTCGAGGGGGCCCTGCTGGGGCAGGAGCCCAGCACAGGGGTCCCCACGTCAAACCGAGGCTTGGAGGGTGGGGAGGCAGAGCAGGCAGCTGGCGGGAATGGGGTGTGCGGAGGAATGGGGGTGCTGCAGCAGCTGAGCGCTGATTGGGAGTGTGTTGAGGAGGTAGGAGATGCACCTAGAAAGGTGGGCCACGCTAAATCACAGAGTGGCTTTTGTGCCATATGGAGGAGTGTGGGCTTTTTCCCACAGGTACTGGGGAGCCTCTGAAGGTTTTAAGCAGATACACGGCATAGAAGTTAGGGAGTTCCTTATATTCATTTGCTAGGGCTGCTGTAACAAAGCATCACACACTAGGTGGCTTCAACAATAGAAATTTATTATCCCCAAGTCTGGAAGGCAGAAGTCCAAGATCAAGGTGTTGGCAGGTTGGTTCCTTCTGAGGCTGTGAGGGAAGGATCTGTTCCAGGCCTCTCTCCTTGGCTTGTAGCTGACCGTCTTCATGTTCACCTGTGTTCTTCTTGTATGCGCCTGTCCTGTGTTCAAGTCTCTCCCCCACTTCTATAAGGACACCTGTCATATTGGATTAGGGCCCACCCTAATGACCTCATTTTAACTTGGTTACCTCTGTAAAGACCCTGTCTCCAAATAAGTTTGCATTCTGAGGTCCTGGGGGTTAGGACTTCAACATATAAATTTAGGAGGGGGGGACACAGTTCAAGCCGTAACATCCCTGTTCTACAGGAACTTCAGATCTAGTTGGGAAACAAGGAAAAGCAGCTAGGTACCAAGTTAATGGTGTGAAGGATCATTGCAGGGGCTTCAGGAAAGGAGGTGACCCCCAAAGTCCGGAGGATGGATCAGGCTGGCAGAGGTGTCACCACCCCCATCCCGGGCTGTCCCTGCAGGTCTTAGGGTCACCGTGCCTGTCTCTGCAATCAGACGCTCCGTGGAGCCTGCCCTTCACCCTCCGGGCACTCCTCTGCATCCTTAGAAGTAGTTATCTGCTCTCTCAGTGTCGTGAGCAGCTCTTGAAATGCACTGTGTTGTTCAAGAGCCTCTGTTTGAGAGCCCTGCTCTCTGGGGCTCGTCCGTCACAGTTTGGGGGCACAGTGTATGCATCCGTGAGGGTCGCAGCAGGAAATGGAAAGCATGCTCAGTGGAGCTGGTTGAAGAGACGTTTGTGATAAAGGAGCCAAGTGCCGAGGTGGGGGCTGGGCTGAGGGGACCCTCAGGAGATGTCCAGGCAGAGGGTCATGCAGGAGAACACGCTTCCCCTGCTGAGCCCATAGGGCCATGGGGAGGGAATGGTGTGACCAGAGCCACAGAAGAAGGGCCACCAGCGGGAGCTGAGGGTGTGGCTTGGACACTGGCACTGCCAGAACCACACCACAGCGGGGAGCTGGTGGGGCGTGTGGAAGGAACCAGGGGCCCAACTCTCTCCTCCACCCGCCAGTCTCAGATCAGGGAGGCTCAAAATTGGCCAAACCCAACAGGAAACCAGGTCGGGAAGCCCAGGCAGCCTCCAGGGCGGGAAAAGGGCAGAGAGTGGATCTGCACAGCGTCCGTGACTGGGCGATGAACTTGACTTCCTGTAGGTGCCTTCACACAGTCTTAATGCACTTTTTAAATATCCTTCACACACAGACACCACCAACCCATCACCCACAGCCTTGAGTCTCCCAAGGAGAGAGAACGCTGAAGAACAACTATTTAAAGTCACCACGGGGTGGCACTGCCTGTCAGCCACAGTTCTGTCTGAGCCTTCCTTCTCGCGCCCACAGAGCCATGTTTGGGCAATTCATGGAATTCCTTACTGCACTGGGCCCTCGTTTTATAACACGTGGTTGCAAACGAAAATGCAAGCAGGCAGGTCCCCATGGGGGGTGCAGAGGTCTCGCAGTACAGTAGATGTCAAGATGGGGACCACTCAGGGAGTCGTAGGTGGCAAATCTTGAGCCTCGTTCAGACCCATCAGAGTGGAGCCAATTCTCTTTGAGTTCAGCTGTGAAAAAACTAAAGAATAGGGGTCTGCCCGGCGGTGCTGCGGTTGAGTGAGTGCGCTCTGCTTCAGTGGCCCGGGGTTCGTGGGTTCAGATTCCGGGCGCCCACCGAAGCACTGCTTGTCAGGCCATGCTGTGGCGGTGTCCCATATAAAGTAGAGGAAGATGGGCATGGATGTTAGCTCAGGGCCAGCCTTCCTCAACAAAGAGAAGAGGAGGATTGGCATTGGATGTTACCTTAGGGCTGATCTTCATCAAAAAAAAAAAAAAAAAATTACTGTGTTAAAAAGAAAAAACTAGGGCCAGCCCAGTGGCTCAAGCGGTTAAGTGCGCGCGCTCTGCTGCGGCGGCCCAGGGTTCGCCGGTTCAGATCCCGGGCACACACCGACGTGCTGCTTGGCAAGCCATGCTGTGGCAGTGTCCCATATAAAGTGAAGGAAGATATGCATGGATGTTAGCCCAGGGCCAGTCTTCCTCAGCAAAAAAAGAGGAGAATTGGCAGATGTTAGCACAGGGCTGATCTTCCTCACAAAAAAAAAAGAAAAAACTAAAGAATAAAATATAATGTATCTGTATGAAATGCTGGGGGGAGAAGGCATGCATCACGTTTTGTGTCTAAGGTATCTTATATATTTGAGCCCTGTAAAAACTCCTCCCCCCACTTATGTGTATATACATACATAACGTATATATCTGAAGTCGGGAAGCAAAAACTTCCCATAAACTTTTGAGATATTGCTATCTGAACTCTTGCTGTTCACCACCTAGAAGTGGGGAACCAGATAGGTTCAAATAATACAGTCGCCCTCCCTGCCCCCAGCTTACCCCATCCCTTCGTATCTGACACCCAGGAACCAATTATAATTGTATGGTTGGAAATACCTGTGAAGAGTAAGCCCTGGGTGCGTCTGACTTGCACACACACATTCACTTTATGCGTTGTGTGCGGGAGCAGGGGCCTGCCCAGGTAGAGGATTTGCCGCTTGTCACAGCGATGGTCATCCCTGTTAGTTCCTTCTCCCTCCCAAAGGCGGAATTCCATTATGAAGTTAATTATCATGTCAATCATCTGTTAATTAATAGTCAGCCGGGCCTCAGGTGGCGGCTATATAGCCTCGTTGGCCGATTCTTCAAGATGACTAGTAATAAATGGCGAGCCAGGAGCTGAAACCTTTTTGGGAATGAAGAGGGTGTGAAGAAATGAGCACATAAAGCAGACGTCCGGGGGCCCAGTGGAGCCCTTGCCCTTGGTCTCGGGCTCATTGCTCCTTTCCTCCCCACCCACCACACTGGAGTGATGTCACCTCTCTCTCCTTCAGGCGCACTGCTCTCCATGGGCTTTGGGTTCGTGGAATACAGGAAGCCAGAACAGGCCCAGAAAGCGCTCAGGCAGCTCCAGGTAAAGTGGGAGTTCAGCCGAGGTCCACGGAGGCACTTGGCAGGCGGTGGGGTGGGGGGTCCCGTCAACCCTCTGGAAGTGAGCGGGCAAGTGGGTAGGTCCACATTTTCCGAGGCCCGTCTCTTCCTCCAGTTCTCTAGGGGCCTGGGACCCAGGAAAAATGGGGAATCTTCCTCAGCACTGCGTAGTCACTGTAGTGCATTCCCTCAATCCACAGCTCTTTATATCGAGGGTCTGGTTTGCGCCAGGCGCCGTGCTAGGCCTGGGGGAGACTGGCAAGGCAGACCTCTGAATAAATACACAGACCAGGTCATGGAGGTGCTTGGATGGAAATAAAGCCGGCACCGTGATGAAGGGAGCTGCTTTAGATTGTGTGGTCAGGGGAGGCCTCTCTGAGGAGGTGACAGCGGAGCTGACACCTAATTTACAGGAAGGAATCAGCTATGCAAAGATCTGGGGGAAAGTGGTCTAGGAGGAGGGAACAGCATGTGCAAAGGGTCTGAGTCAGGGACCCTAAGGCAGGAGTGAGCTTAGTATGTTTGAGAAGCAGATAGAGGCCAGTGTGGCAGGGGCAGGGCGTGGGGTGGGAGGTGCGTGGATCCTGAAGGCCGTGTTAAGGACTGTGCAATTCAGCATAAAGGCAGTGAGATGCCACCAGAGGCTTGGAGCACGTTGGGGAAGGAACTGGTTGCTGCTTCAGAACAGTCTCTCCAGCTGCTGTGTGGGGAGTGGATCGTAGTGGGGCAGGTGGGAGACCATTATCATCAGGCAGGAGAGGTGGTGGCCTGGCCAGGGTGGAGGCAGTGCAGGTGGCAGGAGGGGTGAACTCAGAGGTGTCCTCTACAGACAGACAGAGGAGCAGTGCCCACCTGCGAGGCCCGAAGTGCGGGGTCAGATCGGGGCCCTCGATAGCAGAGGAGCTGGGGCCGCAGGGAGCAGGACAGGCAAGGATTTGCACCATCCCACAGGGAGCCAGGCCTCGGGTTGAGAAGGTGTCCTCAGCACCCTTACCTGACGCCCCACGTCCCCTTCGGTCACTGGGGACAAGGAACAGTGCCTTCCCACACGCCTCTTTCTGCAGACCGACTTGCTCCCTGCTGTCGCTTGCCTGTCCCTCATCCTGCAGGAGGGGAGCCACAGTGGACAGGTGGGGTGCTCCTGATTGTAGAAGCCCCTAGAACAGGCTTCTAAACCCAGGGTCTGTGGAAGGGCCTAGGGGGTCCAGGGATCCTTTAAACTGTAGTCAGAACATCCTGTGTCTGGGTGCGTCATTCAGAGGAGGACCTGGGCCTGCCCAGCATGAGGCCAGGCAGCGTAAAGGTAAAGTGGTGCTGAATCGGGCCAAGTTCACAAGCCAGGGCATAGCAGGCTGCACACCATCCCCGGCCTTCGTTCTCTCTCTGAGAGGTGCACTCGGGCCAGGACAGCTGGGCTGGACACAGAGGGGAAAGGGCGCCCATACAGGGCCACCACCCTGGGGAGCTTCGCTTACTTGTAGGGACCTTCCAGGCGACTGACTCTGTCCCCGTAGAGTTTCCTAGTCAAGGCAAAGGCCATGGGGGTTATAGGAAATGTTACATTTCCTGACTGGGCAGTTGGCCAATACAGTTGTTTTTATGGAATTTTGATGACCTTCCCTGTGGCTCAAGGCAACTTCACCAAGGGCTGAGTGGGTTTGGTAGGATGATGGGGAGGTGACAGCCTCTGGGGCATCTGCTGTCACTTTGAAAGTCTCTCTGCTCTCCACGAGGCCTCACCGACTCAGATGCCCACAGGGGCCAGGAGGCAGTGTAAATGAGTGAAGGGGCAGCGTTACCCAGAACAAAACCTGGACACTCGTGCCCTGTCCAAAGGGGCAGCCACTTCTCGGCTTCAGCCAGTTTTTGCCTCGTGGGAAGGTGGGCCCAGCGATACCAGATCTTCTCTGTTTTTTTGGTTTCTTGGTTGTTTTCTAGAGACACTGGAAATCCAGCTTTGTCGTTAGATAGCGTGTCCTCTTTTAGCTGGAATTCAGCTCTGCACATTCAGGCCCCAGCTTTCTCTTCTGTGTAATTCAAGATCCTGTAAAATCCCACCTCGCACATGTGTAGTGTTATGTTCTGTACCTTGATGTGTGCATACATACGTGCATATTGCCACAAAGAGTTGTTTATACAAAGCTATGTGTGCTGTATTTTATGGGACATCTAAGGGATTTTCAAGGGTAATTTTGCTAATATGCCAGTTTTGCCTTAAGAGACCCATGTTCGAGCCTAGCTTTCCGTGCAACTCCACTGATTTAGAATTTTTTTTAAAGACCACACAGTCTAAACCAAACTGTCTCCACAAGCCACTGAAGGGGCTTACTTTGGCTGATAATGCTTAGAAACAGTGGAAAATTCTGTGCCCCTCAAGTGGCGTAAAGGTCACGGTCCACTCACAGCTCCAGAGGACGTTGAAGGGCTGGGTCTCTGTGACCACCAGCGGCTGCCTGGGCTCGGCATGAGCCATTTCTGGGGGAAGCCGTCTCTGTTTTGGGTTCCAGCCGGCCCCTCTGCCTGGGTGCAGTCAGTCCCCCCACCCAAGGTTCCTGTTCTTCACTCAGCTGAAGCCCACTCCGGTGACGGGCAGAACTACAGGTGAGTATTTCTAAAAGGACGCAGGGACGAGCTGTGTTGTCTTATGTCGTAGGGTCGTGTTGTGGACGGCCACAAGCTGGAAGTGAGGATCTCGGAACGAGCCACCAAGTGAGTCTGCAGTGCCCCCCTCTCTCCTTTGGTCTGAGTCGGTCCTCCCCGCTCTGCTGCTGGCGCCTCGGGGGGTGTTTCACGGCCATTGTGTGTCCTTTCCACCCGCCCCATTTGGGACTCATCCTGATTAAGGTGGTGTCACATTTGCCAGCTCCAACACCATTTTCCTGATGCACTGGGACTGGACCTGTCCTTAGAGTAAATGCTTAACACGCATTTATTTAATAAAAGGAACGCGTGCAGGAGAAACCAGCAAATTCTACTCCTCTTAGCAGTCAAACCAAGGGAGAGTCGCAGGTTGCTGGTGCTTTGGATGAACGAAGAAGAGATAAAACCTAGGTGTGTCTCTTTATGGAGGTTTGTTTCTTGGAGCTGGCCAACAGTGCCCAGAGACGGCCTCCAGTTAACTGGAAAGAGATTCGCTAGGTGTTAGAGATGGAGATGGACCAGTCGGCCCGATGACCGGTTTCCTGAAGTAGGGGTTTTTTTTTTAGGGGTTTAGTTTTGCTCCTACATCTCTACCTGCTTGTGTGTCTAAATGAACTAATACACCTGAGGTGCTTCGAACAGTGCCCGGCACATAACACGTGTCCAGTGTAAGCCATTATTATTGTTGTCATTGTCATTATCATCTGCCTGCCGCAGGTGATGAAATGACTGCTTCTAACAGTCCTTGGGCTGGTTTATGATATTTATTTGCTACTTTTCAGCAAATTGGTCATTTGTTGTGGTCGTTGAGCAAATGAGCTGCCCGTGAGCTGACCTGGAGCTGCTGCCTTTTTCCTTCTCTGTTTTCTCATGGTACTTGTGAATCCGGCCTAGGCCACCTCGAGTGTTGTTCACCCATCCCGGGCTGTGCCAGGCTGAGCATCCTTTGCAAGAAGGGTTGCTACGGGAGCCCTTGGAAGTCTAACGTGGGTTCCTGAGCTGTGGTGTAAAGGTGGGAGTCCAGGCTTTGAGCCCACAGCTTTGGGTTCTAATCCAGGAGCCGTGGGACCTTGGGCAGGGACTTTGCCTGTATAGTAAATTGTGATAACTGGAGGTTGTGTGTGAAGTGTCTAGCACGTGCCATGCACAGAGCACTCAGCCAGTGGTGGCGATCTTTCTTTTTAGTCCCCTATCTCCAGGGAGTCAGGCTGAAGTCACCTTGCAAGCTCTCAATTCCTAGCCAGTGTTCGTGTAGTCATTCTTTTATTCAACAAAAAAGTATAGAAAGCCTGCTGTGCACCAGGCACTCTTCCCAGGTGCTGGGGATGGATTTTCCTGGTGGAGTTTACATTCTAGGGCAGTGCTATTTGAGAGAACTTTCTGCAGTGATGGAAATGTTCTGTAAGGTTATACATCTGTGCTAATCTGGTAGCCACTTGCTACACTTGGCTTTTGAGCACTTGAAATGTGGCGAGTCTGACTGTGTTAGTTATCAATCGCTGCGTAACGAGGTATCTCAAAACTTAACAGGTTCCAACAGCAAGCGTTGATTCTCTCCCAGTTTCTGTGGGTCAGGAACTCAGGAACAGCCTAGCTGGGTCGTTCTGTCTAGGGGTCTCTTGTGAGGCTGCAATCAGAATGCTGCCCAGGGCTCATCTGAAGGCTCAGCTGGGGCTGATGGATCCACTTCCAAGATGGTGCACTTGCATGGCTGTTGGCAGGAGGCCTAGTTCCTCACCACGTCAGCCTCTCCCTGGGACTGCTTGCGTGTCCTTACCACGTGGCGGCTGGTTCCCTCCAGAGCAAGTGGTCCAAGAGAGACCAAGGAGCAGGCAATAATGTCTTTTGTGACCTAGTCTCAGAAGTCACACACCATCACTTCTGCTGTCTTCTGTTGGTCACACAGGCCTGTCCTGATACAGCATGTCCTGATAAAAGGGCATGAATACCAAGAGGCAGGGCTCACTGGGGCCCATCTTGGGGGCTGACTACTCCAACAACTGAGGAACTTAATTTTGAATTTTGGTTCGGTTTTGTTTAGATTTAACTAGCCACATGTGGCTAGTGGCTACTGTATTGGACAGCACAGCCCTAGAGCACAGGCAATAAAGAGAAACATGACTGAACACGTAACACGCTGGCACTGAGTGCCAGGAAGAAGAATAAAGCCAGGGGGTGGGGGTGAGTTGCTGTTTCAGTGGAGAGAGTCAGGGGAGGGCTGTGAGGAGGTGACATGGGGCAGACTTAAAGGAAGTGAGTCATCTCAATAGTCATTATAATAACAGCTGCCACTTACTGAACGTTCCCCACGAGGTGGGCACCATGCAGAGTGTTTGATGTCATCCTCTCTCATTAAATCCTCAAACAGTCCAATGAGGTTGTCCCGATTATTAGGCCTGTTCTGCAGTTGAGGAAACTGAGGCCCAGAGAGGCCAAGTTACTTGCCTGGGATCACACAGATGCTAAGTGGCCGACTTGGCTTTCCCACCCAGGTTGTTAACTCACAGCTGTGCTCGTGGCCCCTCTCCTGCTTCGATGGAGAGGGGGGTTCCTGAGAGAGCAAGAGGACAGGTAAGGTAGGGCATCATCAGGACGGCCTTAAACCTCAGGCTGAGAGTTTCCTGTCTCACCCCTGGTCCGTCTCCATGGTCAGAATCCACTCCAGGCCCCTGGATGATGCTCCTTGGGTTAGTGATGAAATATCTCAAACAAGACCTCTGGACCAGCCAGGGGAGACGGAGGAGATCAGCTTTGGGGAGAAACCGGCCCCACTCTCATCAGAGTTCCTTTCTTAAGTCCCTGAGTCTCTCAGTTGAAGACAACAGGCACCCAAGGGCAGCTGTGTCAACCGGCCGTCCAGAGCTGTTTCGGGGAGGTGGTAGTTATGCTCCACACCACCCAGGGGAGCCTGCCTTCCTCCCCTTTCATCTCAGCCTCCTCCACGCAGACTCCTGGAGTCCGTCCCCCGAACAGAAGACGAGCACCGGTTCTGGGGGAGAGTGCAGTCAGTGTAGGGCAGCAGCTGCTGATGCCCCAAATAACCCAAACCCTTTCCCCAACCCTCCAGGCCAGCCCTGACCTCCGCCCGGAAGAAACAAGTTCCCAGGAAGCAGACAACCTCCAAGATTCTGGTGCGGAACATCCCCTTCCAGGCTGACAGCCGGGAGATCCGAGAGCTCTTCAGGTAAGAAGCGCCGGTTCAGTCCAAGGGACTGTGGCTGGGGAGCCTGCCGGAGCCTTGGGGAAGGCCAGCACGGTGGTCTTCCAAGGGTCATCGTTGCTGCCTTTGATTTATCTCCCCTAATCTCAGACACTGCTCTCCAGAGCGCTGTGCACAAACAAGTTGGAACAGCCAGGCCTCTTCCTCCGGAGGCAGGACAAGAAAGGGCAGTCAGTCTTCTCTGTCCCCATCGGTAACCTGTGGGAGGGCAGTAGCCCAGGTGGCTGAAGCCCACTCTACCCATGATCTGTCTGAAATTTCTACCCCTCAAGTCACTCCTTTGGTTTAAGTCAGTGATTCTCTACCTTGGCCACGCATTCGAATCACCTGACGACTTTGATAAACATACCTTTGCTCAGGCTCCGCCCCCCAAGAATTGGATTCTGTTGGTCAGAGGTGGGGCCCAGACATTGGTATTTTGATCAGAGCTCCCCAGGGGAGTCTTATGTCCAGCCAGGTTTGGGGACCACTGTCTACATTGCTGTCTCTGGAGAGCCCTTTTTGAAATGAGGGTGAATCAAATAATGCAGTCCATCAGCAGCTGCTAGCACAGGGGTCAAAAACTCAGAGATGTCTCGGGCCAGGCAGGTAATGGGGCCTGGAAGAGTGGGCTGGGTGGGGCCTGCTGAGCTGGAGGGCCCACCGTGACACTGCAGGAACGCAGGTGTAAGAGGACCAGTTCTCCCACGTTTTGAAAGAGACACTGGCAGTCTGGACTCTTAGAGGGAGTAAGTTAGCAACTAATTCACTTTCTGAATAAAAACACTGTATGGGACAAAGTCTGCCTGTGAGCCAAAGATGGCCCAAGGGCCACCAGTGCGTGGAGTTTGGTTTCTCGGGTTAATTAGGTATCTCCCAGCACCAGGCCCTGGAAGGAACGTCCTTATGAGAGGGCGTACAGGGAAGATGGTTGATGCTGACCACTCCCCAGGGTGTGCTGGGTCGGGCAGAGAAAGGCCGTCTAGCCCTCAGAATGTAACAGAAGGTGACATTAGCCCCAACCACGCGGATCGTGGGGGCTTGGCTGCGATCTAAGAGTGCCCTGGGAACCTCCAGCTTCCTGGCCTGCACATGGGTAAACATTCAGGATTCTACAGACTAGGCCTCGTTCATTCAACCTGTGTTTGTCCGCTTCTGGTCTGAAGATCGGGAGAGCTAAGTCCCGATTAGAATTACCAACTAGCATCTTGCAAGGTCAACTGTGGATGCAAAATATATGTCCTCTATTTTGGAGACTGGAGAAATGTATCTTTGTGTGAAATCTACCCTCTTTGCACTCACTCGGTGGTTTCAAGAATGGAGAGCCATCTGGGGAATTTGCTTCAGAAGTCGCTGTCCGTCTCCCCTCTGTCCTAATCATACAGTGCCGCAGTTCATTAACGGATGTGGTTAGCCGGCTGCTGATGCAAAGACGCAGACCCTGTCGGTTTCTGAGTACAGGGGTCTTAACTATGATCCCTGGTCCCCTGCGTGGCAGGAGCATCCTGGCGGGATGTTTTCCATTCCCCTTCCCCCGGGAGACAGTCAAGAGGAGTGCATGAGTGAGGTTGTCCTTACAAGAAGGTATGGATCCTTAGCCTCGCCCGTCTGCTGGTTTTAACATGCTTCTGCTTTTTAAAAAGAGTCCAATTTAGGAACTGCCAGATCAAAACGGGATTGCTGCAAACAGCGTGTTGATCAGGAAATAGCATCCCGCCGGACGACAGTTTCACTTGCTTCCGCAGTCTGTGTAGGGTGACAGCCAGGGAAACAAAAGACCTCAGCAGGAAGGGGAAAGCGCGTCGTTTGATCTGCGTTTTATATTTCTTTCGAGAAGACGGGGAATTAGTGTCCCCTGAACATAGTTACGTGCGGTGTCTCTTCTCCCTGTTGTTGTTCTGATGGGCGTTCTCATCACCCCTGGGGACGGAAAGCCTTCTCCTTGGGCTCACCTGGCTTTGTGCTCCTCGGCTGGGGGTCGAGGCAGTTCCGAGAGGCGGGCAGCAGGGGTCGCTGTGAGCCTTCTCAGGGAGACGGCGCTTGTCCGGGAAAGCGGAGACCCGATTTCAGACAAAGCCAGTGGCCGGCAAAAGTCAGAGCCAGGGGAAGATTTCAGGGTTTAGGGGAAACAGTCTGGTCCATTTTGCCAGGCAGGTTTTGCAGGCTTGTCCTACCAGGTGTAATCAGAACCACAGCTCCCTCTTATGGGGCTCGGCACTGCACACCTCCCCAGGCGGCATCTTCCCCTTTAAGCCACACAGCAGCCCCGCGGAGGAGAGATGCTGTTGTCCCTTTTAGCACCCGGAGGGAAACTGGAGACCTGGGGAGATGAAGCATCCTGCCCAGGACCACACAGCTGAGCCAGGATTGGGGCTTCAGTGGTCTGACGGAGCCATGGGCTGGGAACCACTCCTCTCTGCAGCCTGCTGTCCTTCTCCAGGGTCTAGAAGGAGCTGTCGTGCCCCAGATCGTTTCAGTGGAACCGCTGTCCCATGAGAGCATGGAGTGTGTCGTTGCTTCCAGACTCTGTGCTGGGCGCCAGGCGTGTAGCCGTTCCAGGAGAGACACAGGCTCCTCTCTCGAGGAGTTCACTGTGGGTGGAGGGCCAGGGAGGAAAGCGACAGTGACAGTCGCACAGTGACACGCCCAGCCTGTGCAGGTGTGAGTGCAGGGCTGTGGGAGAGCACTGCCAGGTTCTCAAGACTGCCTGCTGGGGGGCAGCAGCCTGCCCACCCTCTCCAGCCCCCGGGGGGCCCTGCGTGTGAACTGGGGCAGCAGCATCCCAGCCAAGGCAGCATCTCCTGGGTCTCCCCTGGAGGCCACCAGCCTTCCAGTAGGGCCTCACTGCACCACACTCCAGCCCCTCCATCCCAGCCTGCACCTTTCTGCAGGATCGTCACCTGGGACAATCTGGGGCTCATCCTTTGGGAAAGTCAGAGAGTAGACACAGCCGTGGGTTAGGAGCCAGCGCTTCTCCTCTCTGCACCCGCTTCTGGGCCTCAGTTTCCCCTCGCATAAAGTAACAGAGTCATTCTAACGATACATATGCTGTGATCTAGATGGTGATGTAGTAATGAATGTTACCGTTTACAGTTAAGTATAGTTTTCAAGCCCAACCTCTGTGCCGGGCACTGTAGCTGAAGGGCTTTTCGTTATTAGAGATCTGTTTATCGAAACACCCCTGTGGAGGAGTTACCATCGTCTCCATTTTCCAGTGAACACACCAGCTCCGGAGCCCACATTCCTCCCACCAGGTCCTCAGAGGGCTGGGGCTGGCACCCAGCTCCCTTACCCGTGGCTGCTTCCAGGGCTGTTAAAAGGATTAAATGAGATTCTGCCTGTGAAGTCCTTAGTACAAGGCCTGTATCGAGTAGGTAGTTAATAAAGGTGAGCTGTGGTTATTATTAATCAGCACAAAACCAGTGCGTCAGGCTTTGAACCCAGGGCAGGCCTGACTCTAGACAGAGCCTCTGTCTTTAACAGCAGTGCTGAGTCTTGCAAGTTCTCTGCGGCATTTTCTTATTTTTTTTCCTCCTTTCCCGAAGTATCTCCCTCCCTCCCCGCCCTCCCGCACTGTAACCCTCTCCCCTCCAGATAGGTTCTGGGGCAGAGAGTCATAAGGAATGGGAGACACAGGCTGAGCTGGCCCCCCCCACCCCTGAAAGGAAACATGGAGGGCAAACGGGGGGGACAGACCGTGCACGTGTGTGCATGCGTGCAAGGAGCACACGCCTCACCCCACAACCAGAGCAAGGGTGGAAGCGGCCCTCGGCTCGCCCAGCGGGGACCACGGTCTTAAGTCAGCATCCACTCCAGAGGAAGAAAGGCGAAGACCAGGCGTCCCCCTCCCGTCTGGGTTTGCTCTGCGGTAGGTGTGTGTGCACGTGTGTGCATGTTTTGCTATGATTTTTTTATTCTTTCCCCCCCTCCATCAGAAAACCTGGATTTGAAAGTCCCCAGCGCAGGGGGTGGTTCAGAGAACAGCCCCACAGATCCCTCGAGAGGGCCTCCATCTGTACCCTCCACTGAAGCTTCTGCATTCAGGGCCTCCCATCCTGATGCACAAGCACGTGTGTGCAGAGCCAAAGCATTTGATGGACGGGTCTCGTTCCCACCTGCATTTCAAGTGATGGCCCTGAGATAGCCAAGAACCCTTGGGAACGAGATAGCTAATGCTCCCGGGCACTTAGGCAGTGTCCGGCACTGGGCTGACCACACCCCCAGCGATCGTGGTATGGGTGCGTCTTCACAGCCGCCCAGCCTGGTGGAACTGCTGAGTGCCCATTTTCTGGATGAGGAAACCGGGGCGCAGAGAGGCAAAGGGGCTGATTGTAGGAGGACCCGCAGCTCGCCCGTGTCTCTTGTGCTCGGTGGGCAGCCTTGGTCTGAGCTGCCTGGCTTCTGGAAGGCAGTGATCTTCCTGGAAGGGGTTTTGCGCACAGGGCTGGCCTCGTGAGCGTGTGTCTGTGAAGTGACACGAGGCCCCGTGCTTGGGTCAATGCTCTCCTGTCACCACATTAAAATTCTTACTTTTTGAACAAGGGGCTCTAAAAATTTTTCATCTTATACCAGGCCTTGCAAATTACATAGCCGGTCCTGCCTGCAGAGCAATGGCGGCTTGGAGCCAGAGTGTAACCTGGCAGTCGGCCAGCCTCGGTTCCCTCACCTGCGGCAGGGAGAGGCTCAGTACCAGAACGGATGCACATACCGACGGGAGGGGGCGCGTTCTACAGAAGCCTGTCTGTTGTCACCATGCTCATCCCTGAGGACCTCTGTGGGTCATTGCCGAGGAGCACATTTCAGACATACCCGCCCCTCTGAGGACGATGTCACAGCCTCAGACAGTCCTCGAGTCTGGGCGAGGCAGAGGGATGGTGAAGAGTGGGCGCTGGCAGTGGACTGCATGGGTTCCAGACGGTTCCCTTCTTTCCTCGGCTGTGTCGCTTCACTTCTCTGAGCCTCGGTTTTCCTCATCTGTAAAATGG